TCCTGCTAGGATTTCTTCTTGTCGTACAAAATAGGAAGAGAGCAATTATTTCTTTTACCCTATTAGCCAAATAACGCTGGTACCTAAAATGCATTTAATTTCACAGGGATTAATGACCACTTGATTAACTATGGTTTCAATCAGTCTGACAGCTATTAAATGTCCCAAATCAAAGCAAAATTAATGAAGCAGTAGCCTCATTTACCTACAAATGTCACTATATGATTATGAGCTGTGCAGTAAAATAAGCTATACATTGTAACCTTTTATTAATAGTGATGTTTTCTGTTGTCATGTAGCAAAACGTTTCTACCCAGTAGGGTCTAAGCACAGCAGACCTTGTTACTTAACATGTTCGTGATATTTTAGAGGGTTAGGCATTTATGTATAATCTCTTTTATATAACATGGCATTTTAAGCACTTTATAAGCTGCTAAGCAACCCTTCTAAATAGGCGAATCATGCACACATTTAAGCCAGTTACCTAGCGGGAATAAACTTAATTAAGCCAACGACCTGTACTACCGGATTGTGATTTATGCCTTGATCATGAACTATCCCGAGTCCTGAGTAGCATTCTCACAAATGTATGCCCTTAAGCTTGAGGGGGGCCAGGCAAGAAAATACAGGTAGCTCAGCCAGAATTTGTTACTACTGTGTGTCTACCGTCTCCAGGGCTCTATAATAACTACCACTGACTTTTGTAAATATGGTCATCAAAAGTATCATCTTTGAACATCCAAGTTTATATAATGTAGACGCTAGCAAGAAAATTTCACTCCTAGAATCACATAGACCACAAATAAGAAACAAAACCCAAAATTGGAACCAGGACAAGAATCTCCAAGGCAGTAGTGAGGTGAGATCCATGGTCTCCCTTTACAAGGTACTTCCTTTCTACAGATTTTCTGAAAAATGACCACTAATTTACTCCTGGTTTCACACCTAAACATTTTTGCCTTGCCTTGAGTTTTCAGCAGCAATTCTAATCAAAGATTTTTTTACTACAATCAGAGACAAGGAATTGGACTCTTGGCAATTATTATAGTCAAATAGTGATCTGATTAAAGGTACTTGATTGACACATGCTAAGGCTCTTTAATAATTTTTGTAATTTTTTGGAGAAATATCACATTTTGTGTATCTGGGATAAACTATTCTTAGCACAGTTCATATTCTTGTCCTGTTTATATGTTCAGAGCTAAAGCTATTATCCAAGATTGAGACTGGAGATAGCTCTCATTCATCAGGCGGAAGAGTAGGTATGGGGTACACCTATATCTCAAGTATCCTATCAGCTCGATATTGTCACAGAGAGAAAATTCCACCCACTAGATTTATCATTATTCTGATCCCAAACCTTCATGTTTCCTTGGGTAGCTCCCTATTTTGGCTCTTTCAAAGCAAGAGCATGGCTTTGAGACAACTCTAAAAGATATGTCAAAACACACCTCTAGACAGTTCCAATAAAACTAAGAAGCTCTAAGGACCTGTGATTTACTAATGGGAAATATTGCTACCTGGCACATCACAGTTTACAGTTAGGAAATTTCATTTTATTGTTGAGCATAGTCCTGTCAAAGACTTAAAAGTAGATGAGAATCTGACTTCTGTCTTCTCCTCTCCAAATTTTTGAACTCAATTGGGTTTTGGTTTTTACTGAGTGTTACTCAAATGTTATTGTAAATTGTAGACTGTACAAAACTGAGAGGAATATAGATACAAAGGAGTAAAATTTTGCTTCCTGCTTTGTCACCTTGACATCTCTTTTGCCAAAAGAACCCATTCTTCAGTTCTAATGCTGTTCCCTTTTCTCTAGCTGATTAAAATTTATTACATGAACTTTAGGCATATTTTGCATAGTTTCACACTAAGAAAATCAAACTCTTACTATTTCAAGTCTTAGCCCAACTAACCTCCAAAATAATGCAGTTAGGGACGGTATAATTTCAAAGTAGCTGAGAAAACAAACACAAGAGGTCACCTGGGAGGCAATATGGTGTAGTGGTTATAAGATAGCATTACCTCATTTTATCTTTACGTAAAGTTCACAGCATAATGGCTGGAACACAGTCAGGGCTAAATAAATATTAGTTATTATTATTATTTCTCAAAATAAAATCACTTCCCTTTGGTAATTTTTAACACCTCTTTCTAGCTGTGAACACAGACACAATGTTGATGTAAATAATTCCTTGTCCTAGACTCTCTGATTCTTTGTTTGGGTGCCTAAATCCACCACATAGAAATCACATGAGCAAAAGTTTTAGCAATGGCACTAAAAATCCATGTGGGCAAAGAATTATGTACCCAAAACGTCTATTAGTGTGCAGTGCAATGACAGGAGAATATTTGTGCAAAAATAAAAAAGAAATAAATATTTTAAGACAATTTGAAACTATGAAATTACTCTGTAAAAGGAATCAAATTGGAAGGAAAAACCATGATTTTTACAGCATTATGAGGGGATTATAATCAGTTAAGTGAGAAAAATATGTAAAATATAAACATATCAAATCAGTAGTTTGGAGATTCTAACAGGGGGCTTAGTACTTGAATATCCTTGGCTAAAGAAATGCCCTCTTTTATTTGGGAAAGTTACAGTTTTGGAAAGGACACACATAGAGAGGTGAGGCAGGAAGAAGGTATCTATCTGGCCAGCTACAGCACTGAAATAACCTGAAGACCCATGGAACGACATTGACATGACAGCTAAATTTTCTTCTTATCCAGTTAACTCTGATTTTTAAAATCATATTTGAAACCATGTTTTTAGGCCACTTCCAGTTTGGTGAATATATAAGTGGTGTATAAGGGAGAAATGCATGAATAAAATATGAAATCAAAAGTATTCATGGTTATTTTGAATAAAGACTTGCCTAATTTTGACCTTCATTTCCTGAGAGGAGACTGTCACTGAGGAGCTGACTGCCAAGATCTAGAAATCTAGATAGAACTGAAATGTCAGTCTCCAACACTACAAGGAGTTCAGTCTAGTTGCTACTATTAGACTTACCTGAACTTAGGAAGAGGGTGTAAGGGCTCACTGTGGTATTCTTGAGGAAGTGCTGCCTATGCTCTTTTTGGCTTCCTTAACCATTCTTGGTTAGTTGCTTTAAAAGAGAAACATGTAAAAAAATTCTTTCCAGAAACAGCTGGAATTCGGGGTCTCTCCTAACCAGGTAGATGACTTCTTTCAATTCAACAAGTACTTACTGAACAATTATAGGGTGTTCAATCAGTATTGTGCTAGATACTATTGGATATACTATAAACAATGACATTCTTTACTCAAGTTTGTTTATTTCTTTTGGGTAAGGAGAGGATGCTAAGAGAACAAGATTTACATATGTAAAATAATATGAAAACAATTCAAGATAATTGAGCACAAAGAGCTAAATTCAATTAGCTCATTGGCTGGCATTATTTCAGTTTTCATGATGGTGGTAGATCTTGAGAGGGATTTCAAAGGATAGGTAAGATTTGGATACACAGCACGAAGGAGAGAGAGTATTCAAAGGAGTCAAAAATGTGAGTAAAAACCAGAGGCAGGAATAACAGGATGTGTGGCCAGGACAGTGAAATTTACCATGTCTGGAACAGAGAACACGTTGGGAAATAGAAAGTGTTACTATGTTTATGTAAGCATTTAAAGGTTTTATGCTGAATATACACAATTTATTAATTCCATGACGTTTAAACATACTGTGTGATGATATTCACTTTACCAGCTTATCCATCTACTTATGCCTTCATATAGGAGACTGCTCTGTTTAGGAAACAATCACTACTTCTCTAGGAAAGCAACTTCCAAGGGTACATGGATAAGATAGCATTGTGGTATGTTCATCTAGACTTTTAAAAATGTGAAATATATATATATTAATAAAAGCATGATGATACTATATTTTATGTTGAATGTGGCTTTTTCCATTTATCTGTATTTTATAAAATGGCTTAGCATATCACAGACACAATTATGAAAGCCCATCTCTGCTTACTTTGCAATCCTTCCATTTGCCTCAGCATGCATGCTTTTCTGGGATCTGCATTCAGAGGACAAGTTGAAAAGGAAGTATCCAAATTTGAAGTCTATTTATCATATAAATATATATATATATATATATATATTCTCAGGAATAAATGTGTTTATAGGACACCTTTGGTTCCACGTGTAATATCAAAGGTAGTATGGAATGCAACCTAAGTTATTAACCTCCAGGTAGTGTTGTTTTGAGGATGGGAAGCAAGGTAGTCAATAATATTGAAAAGATTCATACCAAAGGATATGAAGCCAATAGAATAGGTCTTATTTAGGACACTATTCACAGTAATTTGTGTTTAGCATCTCAAATGTCTCTGAGGTCTATGAATTTTCTACACTTGGCCCTGAACTACTCTCTTTCATGTCAGATTGACTAGATATTCAGTCCAGACAATAAATGGAGGGAATCCAACAAGAAATACATAAAAACACATTGAATTGAGAAGGTTTATTTAATCTAACTTCAAGATACACTAATAAATCAAGATGACTTTCACTAAGAAAATGCAAATCCAAATGAAATCAATTCTTCTAGAGTCAGTAAAATTCAAATAATTCACATTTTCTTTTCCAACAGGGGACAGATGAGTGAGCCATGTTGTGATAATGGGCAATTCAGGGATTTTGATTTACTTGTTTTACTGTTTTACTTAAGTATCTATATTCAAGAATTTTTATACAAATTATTCAAGTTTTGCATTCATTAGGTCATTTAGACTTGAGTGAAGTGAAATTGAAAATGTTATTGCAATGCTGCTTTTCCTTTAAATTCCTCCCACATTGAAAAATGTATATTCTAGATACAAAGAAAATTTAGTGGCTTGATTCATGTGATGACTTTGTAATGAGTTATTTGTATTAATGGGTTATTTCACTTTTTTCATTTCTCATCAAAGCATTTGTGAACTTAGAAACACTTAATATTATTTATAATTGTGGCTGATGCTTTCTTCAGGTGATAATTCAAGATGATGGCCCTGAAAAATTGGACCCCAAATATTTTGGAGAGTTGCTTGCTGATCTGAGCCGTAAAAATACCGATCTATATCACTGCTTATTAGAACATTTGCAGAGAATTGGAGGAAGGTACTGTAAACATATCATTTGCCTTGATGTTGTAGCTATCAAACATTTTACAATTCTCTAGTATTTTTTAAATTGACTTTTTAGAGCAGTTTTAGGTTCACAGCAAAATTCTTGTACTTTTAATGGGGAAATAGGGCAACTCTATGAGCAAATCTCAGCAAATGTCTCATTTTAAGAGTTTATGTACTTCATGAAAATCATCAAAAAGATCACACCAGCCCTTTTAGGATCAGTAAAGAATTCTGTGTACCTTCTTTCATAATGTACTTTGATGGCAAATGCAAGCTCTTGGGCAAGGAGCTCAAAAAATGCATGGCATACTATGACTTGTTTTAAGATATAGGATACAATCCCACTGCTAACACACTGTTGTTTATCTTCCACTAATGTGCACTCAACGTATGAAGGCCAGAGTTTAATAGTTACATTTACTGTTATACATTTAGTGTTATATATTATTATATGTTTATATTAGTTTAATAGTATATATTATATTACATATAACTTGTTTAACAATAATATATCAAATGTAAATTATATAAATATCTATTTATAAATCAATGTAAATATAAATATGTATATTATATAATATCTAATAAGTAATATATATTTAAATATATATATACATAAGCAATTTATCAACTGTTCACGTATAGATGAGAGAATATTATGTCATGAAATGAATTCCATAAGCTACACACCAAAAGTTGCCTTCTACTATATAGTCACATCATATATGGTCCACTATCAGGCAAAAATCTGGGAAAGCTCCACAAATTCAGAAAAATCTGGAGGATAAAGGAAAGTCGGTAGAATTTTTTTCTAGTTCAGACTTCACTAACTAGATTCTTCTACTTCTTAGAGCTCTTTAATCTCTTGTCCATCTCTTTTCTCTCAATTTATTACATCTCTTTCTCTCCATTTATTAGCTCCCTCCTTCCTGACTTTTCTTGCTTTTATATTCATGACTGAAACCATTCTCTTACCATCACCCTCAACTGCTTTGCCTTCTTACCTTATTATCTCTCCCACTTAGCAAAATCCCAACTCTGGATTAGTCTAGCTTTTTGCTTTTTTTTACGTTTCTCTTTACCACCATCTCCTCCATCCAATACCCAGCAATAACTACCCCTAGAATTCAGAGGGCTCCATGAGAGCTGTTTTATTTACCCTGGTTTCCTTGGTGCTTAGTGTGGTGACTGGTTTAGTGTGGTACTCAAAAAAATATTTGTTGAATAAATGAAGGCTTTCTTTACTGCTACATCCATGCAGTTGAACACTGTTAGAGAAAAGCACAGCCATTTATTAGAATTGGAGTCAATTCAATTCAACACGTGAATAAACACATGACTTCAATCTTCAGCTAGGCCTTCATCATTGTTTTATACTAATCAACACCCTCTCCCATTACCCAAATGACTATTTCACATATTCATCCATTTGCATAAGGTCACTACCTTAAAATTTTTCCCGTCATTTTGAGTTGTCAATTATTTATTGAGTGTCCACTATGTGCCAGACACTGTGTTAAATGCTTTTTTTACATTATCTAATTCACACAGTAACCCTAAAAGGTTTCAAATGGAGACCCAAAGGGAGTAAGCTATTAACTTAAGGTCGCACAGCTACTAAGTGCTTGAGATGGATTCAAACATTCTGAGTACTCTTTTACATATAAACCATGACAACTTTTCTGGAAAGCCTTCCCTAGATACTCAGTTTGGTCTAGATGTTTCTCTTCTGTGCATTAATCAGCCCTGAATATTTCTATCAAAGTATCGCATTGTAAAATCAAGAGCATATGGAGACAAAGTCTTAAGTACCCTGATTCTAGATCCAGAGTTCACAACAGCGTTCATGTCCCAGCTTTGGTTACATACTGGATGTGTAATATCAGACAACTTATTTAACCTCTCTGTGCCTCAGTTTCTTCATCTGTAAAATAGGGATTATAACAGTAATCCTTATCTCATAGATTTGTTATAAGCAATAAAAGACTTAATGTACTTACAAGCAGTGTCAGAATCATGTGAGAGCTCAGAAATAAACCTACAGAATCAGAAACTCTGGGGGTAGGGCCCAGCCACAAGCCCTCCAGAGGATTCTGATACATGCTCAAGTTTGAGAACCACTGACCTAACGCCACAAAAGTGGCAAAATCTGGGACTAGAACTCTTACTCTGAGAACCTTTTCTCCTTAGGCAAATCACTTAACCTTTCAAAACTAGATATGTATCTCCAAATTATTTAAGATATTGCAGACAAATTAAAGAAATCATAAAATTTTTGAATCATCAAATTTGGAAAAATCACAGGATTGACATTGTTCAAATTTTGTCTTGGGACAATTATGTTTGTATGAAGTACAGGACAAGATAATATTTGTGTTTTGTATTGCCCCAAAACACTTCAGAGCACGTGGCCTTGACACAATCTACTTGATAAAGTTTATAGAATGACAGTTAAATATATTCCAAATTTATTAGTCTCATACTAATAAACGAAAAAACTAAAAACTAGAAGTAGAGAAAATAACTGAGCAAGAGAAGTTAAATTATTTCATAATGATCATCCAGGTAAAGGTGTAATCCGGGGTTTTGAAATAACTTCCTCTCATCGAGGGGTTTTGATAAATATACATGGGTGACCTTAATGTGTAATTGAGCACTGCAAAGCCTTGAATTTAATTCGTAGAGTAGCTAAACATACCAAAAAGAAAATAGAAAGCTAGTGCCTCCACCTAAGTAAACACTCTAGAGTGGAGAGGGTCTCATAAAATTTTGGTGCTTAAGAGTTTCTGTTTGTCAGAAGGTTGTCAGTTTCCTTCTTTTCATTCCTTCCTTCTCTCCCTCCTTTCTTTTCTTTTTCCTTACTACATTCCTTCCTTCCTAGGAGGTGAGATGGTGTATAGTGAGTGCTACTCTTTTTTTTTTTCTTCTGCCCAATGTAATTCTAGTCACCACCCTCCAGTGCTGAATGGAGATGTAATCCACACTGACCTTTCCACCTCCCTGCTCTGCTCTATTTGTTTGCACTCTCTGCCTCTCTCCCTCCCTTTTTGTTTCCACTTTTCTTCTCTTTCCAAATTGCAGTTCAGCAATGAGTGGGCTGCAGGGTAAGAATTGAGGAAGGTTGTCTCATGAAACCATTCTGGTTATTTTTAAAATTCCAGTATTAAGTGCCGTTGATTGTCCCTTGTTTTGTTTCTTTGTTTTGTATTCTTATTTGTAGACAGAAGTAAGTGACTAGAGACATGTATAGTAGGTTGTCATTGGAATCAAAATTTTAAAGATAAAAGGTCTATTAATACAGTGATAAGTCCAGTTAACAGTAATGCAAGACTACTAAAATTGCATTGTGATTCATATTTTTAACTTGTTTTAGCTTCCAATATATGTATGCAGTTACTTTAGTAAAACATTTAAAAAGTAGAAGATATTTCTTTTTTTTTTTTGCTAGGGCCTCTCCACAATTTCTATTTTGGGCAACACAGGAAATACCACATACATACAGACAGACGATTGCACATATGCAGTTATGCTTCGGGAAATGGAATCTTCAGTTCTCTTTCTCCACATTAGCTTGTATATTTTTATAAATGCATGCAAGAGGTTTTGCACAGTGAATGACCCACTTATCTCTGTAAACAATATATTACTCATAAGCACTTAGAACATAAAGATAGGAGCTAATGTACTAGCTTATATCTCTAAAACATTTTTCTGTTATACTGAGGATATGGCAATCATATATCTATGATTTTCTAAGACCGTCTTACTTTAAAATATTCTGTCTTTCTGTCAGAACATGCGTACTGGTTTCTCTTTCAGAAGTATGTTCGCCATATGTATTTTGAGCCCATTTCTTCCACTAAGTGCAGAGAGAGCAAGTAAGCAAAAATAAAGGCCTGTCTGTTGCCGCTGACAACACTAGAATTGTATCCTTCCCAGCTTTCACCATTCCCCAAAGGAGCGAGTGCCAGACTGGTATAATGACTAACAATTCTCTCGCAGCATTTGCCTGCCTAACATGGTTCCACAAAGGGCTTTCCAACCCTCGAAGCCAAACCCTCATTTTAATCCTGGAAATTCTATTATCCCCCTAGAATTTTGGTCACGCTGCTTAAGGCTCTGTCCCTGTGTAAACATTCAAATACCCCTTAAGCTTCATCACTGCCATACACACTGTAGTGTAGATTGAATGAGTTACTCAGTCTTGTCTTGCAAGTTTTGATCTTGATAAAAAAGAGTATGAATAACTTGAAGACACTGTAGAGAGAAGCTGGAGTCAGCACTGAAAGAGGGCAATACAAGGAGAAAAGGGAGGTGAAAATAGAGAGAGAACAACTATTATTGCTATTTATTCACTGAGGTAGCATTTATTGCCAAGCACCGAGGACCTCTATATTGTAGCCACAAATGGACTGGTGCAAATGGATGGTACTAGCCAATTCTGCATATTCTATCAGCTTGTTATTTGGATATTGTTCATTTTTAATAGATTAGCTGGCTCCAGGAAAATTATCTTTATTTTTATCGTGTCATTGTCATTTTAGTTTTAAACTTTTCATTTGGATTATAAAATGAATCAGTGCTATTATGATATATCAAAAAGAAAGATAAAGTAATTGGAACACTAGCATTTATCTATGACCAATATATACATTTTCCTAAGGTTGTGTATCTTTTTTTTCATTCTTGCAGCAAACAGGACTTCGAGTCTACAGATGAGGTAAGTGCAAAAACAGATGAAAATCAAATATAAAGCAGATTATGATATTTGTACTAATAACATTGTTTTAGTTTGGTACCTTTATTAGATTGGAAACATAGGTTAGTGAAAGAAATAATGATCATTTTGCCTTTAAAATGATATAACCATTAGATCTTTGTAATGGCTGTAAAAGTAATAATAGTAAAAATAATAATCATTCACACAAAAAATGTTTTATCAGCTGCCACCTAATGATTTAATTTGGCCTTGCTTATCAGAACATTTAAAATTTCATTGACCACATACTGTCTGCTTTAGAAAAGTGAAATCTACGTTAATAAATAGCAAATTTAGTTTAATGTATTTTGAAACCTGTGTCCCGTGCCAAATAGCCAGCAACTTGACGTAAATTTTTTTCAAGTATTAATTCTAGTATACATGCACATTTTATTAATAATTACTTTTAATGGAATAAACCATCAAATAGAGAAATGCCTGATTTCAATGCAATATGTAAAGCACAATGGCCTCTTTTGTGTTACTTTTTATCTTTGTTTCCAATGTATTGATATACTGCATTCATTACCATAATTCAGTAAGTCCTAAATTAGGGAAGTACTGACTTCAATTCAGCTTTTCACTTAAAATTAGTTGAAGCTTCTCAACGTTGCTGTGGCAACATCATAATCTTTCAAAAGTCACCACAGCTTTATGTAAATTCTCCATAAACAATTTCATTTCCCCCAATTTTTGTTATTTAAAAAATTAGCCTCTAAAATGTCATATTTACCACCCAACAAAACTTTCAGTTGTTGAAAGATACACTGAAATGAAGTATTTAATGGGATTTAAGAGACCATCTTTTGTTCTTAAAAATAGGAATAGAACACCTGATTGGCTGCCCCAAGCTTTTTCTTAAAATGCCTGGAATTCAGGGTTCTTTCCGTAGTGTATGTAGTATAATTGATTTTTCAAAAGTAAGAAAGAACTTATAATGCTAGAAATGAAGTTTGTAGCAACTCTTGCCCTAAAAGTGGAATAATCTTTTGATGTCTCTAAAAATATGCCCTGCTGCATGAGTCTGTGGACTGCTGACCGTAAGATTAACATACTAACGTGTATCTGTTCAATGGATAAGCCTCTCTTTTCTTACAGTCAGAAGACATTGAATCTTTGATTCCTAAAGGATTGTCAGAGTTTACCAAACAGCAAATTCGCTATATTCTGCAGGTGAGATGAGGTCAAGAGTGGGCATGAGATCAACACTTAACAAACCACTACTCTGGGATGCTTCCTTTAATTAAGAACAGAAAGTTTCGAATAAAAATCCTGTTTCACAAGAGTTGATTATACTTCAATTAAACAGGTTGCATTATATAGTTTTTCAAAGTAGTCCATTTAATCTAAACTGTCAAATTTATATGTGTACAGTTGTCATAGTATTCCCTTATTATCCTTTGAATGTCTGCAAGGTTTGTATTGCTATCCCCTATTTAATTCCTGATATTAGTAATTTGTGTCTTCTCTATTTTTTCTTTGTCAGTCTTGTGGGAGGTTTATCAATTTTATTGATTTTTTTCAAAGAACTTAGATTTTAGTTTTATTGATCTTCTCTATTGTTTTACTGTTTACACTTCTATTGATTTTTGCTTTTGTGTGTATTATTTACTTCCTTCACTTCCTTTTGGTTTATTTTGCTCTTCTTTGTCTAGTTTCTTGATATAGGAAGTTATATTATTAATTTGTGACCTTTCCTATTTTCTAATGTAAGCACTTCATGCTATAAATATCCTCTCAGCATGGCTTTAGCTATGTCCCACAAATTATGATATGTATTTTCATTTTCTTTCAGTTCTACATGTATTTAATCTCTCTTTAGATGTCCACTTTGACCCATGGATTATTTAGAAGTGTATTGTTTAGTTTCCAAGTGTTTCGAGATTTTCCTGCTGTCTTTCTGTTATTGATTTCTAGTTTGATTCCATTGTGGTCAGAGAACACATTTTATATGAGATCAATTCTTTGAAATGATTAAATTTTGTTTTATGGTCAAGGATATGGTCTATCTTGGTATATTTTACATGGACACATGAAAGGAATGTGTATCTGTTATTGGATGGAGTGTTCTATAAATTCTGATTAGATTCTTTGGTTGATGGTGTTGTTGATTTCTTCTATATTCTTGCTCATTTTCTGCCAAGTAGTTCTATCAGTTGCTGAGGAAGGGGTATAGAAGTCTTCAGTTACAACTGTGGATTTATCTATTTCTCCTTTCAGTTCTCTCAGTTTTTGTTTTATACATTTTGTAGTTCTGTTGTTTGGTGCATAAACATTTAGGATTGCAATGTCTTCTTGGTGAATTGGCCCTTTTATCATTATGTGGTGTTCCTCTCTGTCTCTGGTAATTTTCTTTGCTCTGAAAGTCATTCTTGTCTAATATCAATATAGCACTCTTGCTCTCTTTTGATTAATGTTTGCATGGTCTTTTTTTCCAACCTTTTACTTTCAATATATATATTTTAATTTTCATTGTATTTGAAGTGAGTTTCTTGTAGAGAACACACAGTTGGGTCATGATTTTTTTTTCACGCTGCCAATCTCTGTCTTTTAATTGGTGTATCTGGACCAAGTTGTAATTCCTGATATATTACAGCTAGATCTGCCATTGTTATTTTTTGTCTTCTGTTTGTTCTCTGCTTTTTGTTTCCCTGTTTTCTTTGTCCTGCTTTTCTGTGGATTACTCAAACATGTTTTAGAATTCCATTTTGATTTATCTCTAGTGCTTTTGAGTGCATCTCTTAGTATAGCTTTTCTAATGCTTGCTCTAAGTATTACATTATATATAGCCATAACTTGTCCCAGTGTACTGGTATCAGTATTTTATCAATTTCAGCGAACTGCAGAAAATTTTTCTTCCTTTCTCTCTCTATACCCTCCACATTTATAATATAATTTTCTTAAATAGGTCCTCTACATACATTGAGAGACACATCAGACAGTGTTATAATTTTTTGCTTCAGGCCTCAAATATAATTTAGAAAATGCAAAAGGAGAAGAAAAAACCTATTTACCCATATTTTTGCTTACCATATCATTTCTTGATCTTTTAAATTCCTTCTTTTATCATTTTCTTTCTCTTCAGAGAACTTCCTTCAGCCATTTTTTTAAGGTAGGTCTGCTAGTGACAAATTGTTTTCATTTTTCTTCGTCTGAAAATGTTGTGACTTCCCCTTCATTCCTAAAAGATATTTTCATTGGATACAGAATTTGCAGTTGACAATTCTTTTCTTTCAGTGCTTAAAAATGTTGTGCCACTTCCTTCTGGTCTCTATGGTTTCTGATGAGAAATCTGCTGTCGTTTGAATTGTCATTCCCCATAGTTAAGGTTTCTCTTGCTGCTTTCAAGATTTTAAATTTATCTTTAGTTTTCAGAAGTTTGATTTGTCTAGACATGGATTTCTTTGGGTTCATCCTATTGGGGGTTTGCTCAACTTCTTGAATCTGTATATCTATGGTTTTTGTTAATTTGGGAAAGTTTTCAGGCATTATTTCTTCAAATACTTTTTCATCTCCATCTTCTTCCCTTCTAGGACTCTGATGACATAAATGTTAGATATGTGTTACACTCCCACAGGTCTCTGAGGCTCTGTTCAATTTTTTTCCAGTCTATTTTATCTCTGATGTTCAGATTGAATGCTTTCTATTGTTCTGTCTTCAAGGTCACTGATTCTTTGCTCTGTCCTTTCCATTCTGCTTTTGAGTCCATCCATTGAGGTTTTTTGGTTTTTATTCTTTAGTTATTGAGCTTTCAGTTCCAAAATTTCCATTTAGTTTCTTGAGATTTTCTGTTTTGTTGCTGAGACTCTCTATTTTTCATTTGTTTTAAGTTTGTAATTTCTTGTTGAGGCATTTTTATGATGGCTGCTTTAAAATCCTTGTCAGACAATTCTAACATTTCCGTTATTTTGATGTTGGCATCTATTAATTGTTTTTTCTTATCAAGTTGAGATATTCCTGGTCCTTGGAATGACAAGTGTTTTTTTTATTGGAATCTGGACATCTGAGTATTATGTTATGACTCTGGCTCTTATTCACATCTTCTGCTTTAGCAGGACCCCTCTGATACTGAAACAACAGGGGGAGTGGGGGCACTGCTGTTATTGCCAACTGGAGGTGGAAGTCCAGGTTCCCCACTCAGCCTCTATTAATACTAATCAGGGGAGGTGTTCCTTATTCCTCCTGGGCATGTGTAGGAACTATGGCTCTCTAGCAGGCCCCCAGTGATACCACCTTGGTTTGGATGGGGAAGAGTGCTTCATTACTGTTCCCCACTTGGCTTCCACTGACACTGCAAGGTGAATGGCCTCATTTCCATTGGGCAGTGATGGAAGTCCTGACTTTCCAGTAAGAATCCTCTAACATCACCTCAGCAAGGAGGTGAAGCAGTATTTCAATAGTGCTGGATAAGGTGAAAGCCTAGGCTCCCCTCCTAGTCTCAACTGACACCACAGTACTTGGGGTCTCATTTTTGCCAAGAAGGGATGAAAGTCCCACTTCTCTACCCTGCTTTCTCTAACACCAACCTGGTGAATGGTGTTGGTATAACTTTTAGAGCCTGGTGAGGAGGAAAGTCTAGCCTCCTTTCTTGGTCTTTGATGGTTTGGATGGGAGTAGAGTTGTAGGTTTCTTTTCTGTGGTGCTGGAGTAGAGTGGTTATTATTTAAAAGTTCTTTGCCTTGGGGCTGGCCTGGTTGCATAGTGGTTAAGTTTGCTTGCTCTGCTTCAGCGGCCCAGGGTTCACCAGTTCGGATCCTGGGTGCAGACCTAGCACCACTTATCAAGCAATGCTGTGGCAGGCATCCCACATATGAAGTAGAGGAAGATGGGCACAGACGTTAGCTCAAGGCCAATCTTCCTCAGCAAAAAGAGGAGGATGGGCAGCGGATGTTAGCTCAGGGCCAATCTTCCTCAAAAAAAAAAAAGTTCTTTGCCTTACTAGGCTGCAATTTTCATGGTCCTTTGGTTAGAGAGAGCAGGCTTTTCTAAGGACTTTTGTTATCTGTATCCATTGTTGTTTCTGGGTTACTAGTTCCCCAACACCAGTCTGTGATATATGAAGCAAAAAGAAAACCCAGGAATTCACTTCTGTGTCATTCTTCAGATCTCAATATTCCTAACCAGACTTCCTCCTTCTTTTCATCTTTCAGAGTCTTTTAATGTTTGGTTTATACATAACATTCCAGGCTTTTAGTTATACCTACCAGGAGGAATAGGGAAAAGTATTTCTACTCCATCTTTCCAGAAATGGAAGTTGCCTGCTTTTTAAACCATTTTTATTTGAAGAAATGAGTTTAATCTAGTGAAAGGGCTTTTCTCCCTCCTCTTTAAAATTTGAGATGTTTCTATACTTCAAGGTTAAACTTAATTTGTATTATATTCTTCTCACCTCAGCCAAAATCTGTGCATTTGGCAGCATTCATATGGAGGTGCATCTTATTATTTGAAGGTTGACTGCCTCACTTTTTCTAATCTTTAAATAAAAGTAAAAAGTAAATTTGAGAATTTGCTCATAGATTTCTGTCTTGTGAGAAAGATGATACTTCATTATGGGAAAAATAATAGACCCTTGTTCTAATCACATAGCTATGATCTCTTCAGGAATATTGCTTGGATTACTTATGCATATTATTCACAAAATGCCCCTGTATCACTATTCTAATACTGCCATATCAAAAATAAAGCTGTTCATAAGTTTGCTTGTAGGAACAGAAAAATAAGATTACTATCATTTATATTGCCTGTTTTTAAATGTTAGTAAAATAAATCATCAATCATTTTTTTCCTCCAGATGAGGGGTATGTCTGATAAATCACTCCGGCTAGTGCTGTCCACATTCAGCAACATACGGGAGGAGCTTGGACATCTTCAAAATGACTTGACAGTAACATTTATTTTGATTTTTCTTTCCAAAGACTTTCTAGTTCCTAGCTTTGTAATGTAGAAATCAAGCCATTCAGTCTACATTTTTAAAATTTAATACAAAACAACAATGTTATGCTCACTCAGACATAGTTACTATCTTGAAAAAGTTAATTGGGGTTGAGAGAGGAGAAAAGAGCTGTCCAATGGAAAAGTGAAAGAAAGTTGAGTGTGTTTTTATTATTTAGTTTACCACTAAGGTAATTCAATGCTTAAAGCCAGGGAGTAGCTTGTAAAATTGGAATAATATGACTCATTGAATGGGAATTTCTCCCTTTTCTGTAATAATAAAGCATACTTTGAGTTTCTTTGAATACAAGAAAACTTCTTTCTCCAAGCACTTAACCCTTTCTATTTTAATTGATGTTCTTGGTGCCATCAGCTAGATGCATTCAGAATACTTTCCATATAATGAATAACTCCTTGAGGACTTTGGAGTGGTTTTTTTGTTTGTTTCTGGGTTCTGACGAACACATTTAGACTCTAATTTGAAAATTCACGACCTGCTGGCATTAACAAGGAGTCTTTGTAGATTGGGGGAAATCGTTAAAATAATTCAGAAAGTTCTGCCTCATTGCCCTTAGAATTAGTCAATACATCAAAATGTCTCTTTCAGTGCGGGTTTTTAAAGTTTCAGTCCTTTTGTAGTCCACATTTTGCTTAACTTTTAAGAATTCTGTTTTATTAACCAACTATAAATGAAACCAAGTGTGTATTTAAACCTTCCAATGTAAACAAGTCTTTGTATTATGTGACTGTTGACAAATTTCTGTAATTCTGAGTCATAACAAATAATTTTGCTTCTAGTCACTTGAAAATGACAAGATAAAACTTGAGAAAGACCTGGCATTCAAAGAAACTCAAATAAAAGAGTATGAAGAACTCTTGGCATCAGTGAGAACAAACAACCGCCAGCAGCAAGTAAGCTGATATTTTCATTGATGATAAACTAGATTGTTAGCTTTTCATATGCACATGGCACATTGGAGTTATGAGATACAATCCAGACAGAATTAAAATATGATGGACCAATTTGTTCATATGAGAAATGAGTGGCTTTGAGTGTTTCCAACGACTGAAAGCTCTCTCAAAAAAACAGATAAACTTATGTATTTTAGATATAAAGTATATACGGTCCACAATTATCTGTATTGTTGGGTGACAAGAATTGTATAAGTATTGGAAATCTAAGTTCACTCATTTATTTAATCTACTAACGTGTTGATGAAAAGGTTTTTGTAGATCTTAACACATTTGTGCAATGAATAAATGAATGAACAAACTCTAGAAGTGTTCTCCAGATGTCTGAGCAGAGACAATTCCTAGGAAATTGTAATGAGTCTCTAAGGCTGATCCCTTCCTAATCTTCACTCCCATGAAGGTCTTCAATTTTTTCTGTTTCCAGTTGTCACATAAATAATCTGGCATGTGGTCATTTTTGTGCCTACTAAAGGGCAGGATACAGTATGGTCAAAGAGTTGCAAGAATCAGATTGCTAAATTAGTACACGGAAAATTCATCTAGTCTTGATTCCTTCTCACTCAAGATAGGCAAGTCAGACTAGGAGCAAGAATCTAATAACTTTCATGGCTGATTTAACTTACCATTTAAGGGTAAATATATAAGAAAACTGGGCATAGAAAAATATCTGCTTTATTTCACTAATTAATCAACGAAAAGAGCACTCTTACCCAAAAAGTAGAATCCATTTGTCTTATTTATTTGTGTCTTCTTACAGCAAGGACTTCAAGACTCAACCTCAAAATGCCAAGCATTGGAAGAAAGCAATCTCTCTCTTCGACACACACTATCAGATATGGAATATAGACTAAAAGAACTGGAATACTGTAAGCGTAATTTAGAGCAAGAGAATAAAAATCTTAGAACACAGGTATTAAAATTTTGTTTTAAATATGTTATTGCCTTGGTTATACTATTGTAACCCTAGCCTTGGCCATATATATATCCTATTCACCTTGAGAAAACAGACTGCTTTGACTGCTTTCTGATGATCTCAGATGCAATTAGGTCTTATTTCACTGCCGTTTGAGCTGCATAATGAAATTCCTAAAAATCTCTCTTGTTATTTCAATGTCTCATTTAATCATGTGGTTTTCACCTAATAATGTCTTGTAATATAATATGTATTTCTTTCATAACAATCCAATTACAGAAAGTTATTTTGTCTTGTGTAGGTTTCTGAGACTTGCACAGGCCCGATGCTGCAGGTTAAAATGGATGAGATTGGCAACCATTATATGGAGATGGTAAAAAATTTAAGAACGGAGAAAGATAGAGAGATCTCCAAGCTAAGGGTATGTTGATCCCACACTGCATAAATGCACAGGTCAGCACAAACTTTCTAATAGGATAATTATGATTTCAAGTTCAAAGCTACAAAGAAAAATCAACTGAAGGTAGAGTTTTAGGAATATACCACAGAACCTTTTGTTTAAATACATATATATCAGTGTGTATAAACTATTGTTAAATTGTTTTCTAATTTAGCTTAATCTTTTCTAGGAAAGCAAAGGAAGACATTAAGTTCAGGGTTTTGGTATTTAACTTTTATTTATTTTTTTGTGGCAGGAGAAACCCTTTATGATCTTGCCTAAAGTATGCTTATGCAGGCAAGAGATTCCAGCAAAGCCACAGGTGGATTCATAAAAATACTCACTTGACTTTGAGAGATGATACATAGCAAGAACTTTGTCAAGCACAAGGGTAAAAATGGTGTTGAATTATATACCTGTAATTGGCATCAAAATTAGGGTGATATTTGTGAGAATAAGTATACATTGCCTTATCTTGTAATTCTGGGTCAAATAGACAAATTCTTAATTTACTGGTTCTTAAATGTAGTTAAAGATACTTAAACATTTTAATGGAAAAACTGACCACAGATTTTTCTCTCCAAATATCACTGTACACTCTCTACCAAAAATCAAAATGAAACAAAATATAATTTGTTCAAAAGCCTACTGATTTTTCTAGCAGATTTCCTCCACTGGTTTCTCTTCCATCCCAACATTACCAATAACACTTTAACCCAACAGTCATCTATGCACACATAATGCAGTAAAGAGGAAAACGAACAGAAATTGGAGTCAGAAGACCTGTTTTGGAGTTGCAACTATGTTGTTTATTAGCTGTGTGACTTTGTGTTATTTGACCTCTCTGGATTTCATTTACCTGTTTTGTAAATAAGGATTATAATACTTTTTTCACAGGGCTGCTGTGAGGACTGAGATAAGCCATGCAGGAGGAATATTTTGTGAACTGCAAATCTCGATAAAATATTAGTTACTATTATTGTTTTCCTTAATTAGTATTTGAAGGAGTCTAAAGTGCCTGTTTTCTTAGCTTTATTTTAATTCTTGTGGCCTAGGACTGTTACTTAGGTAATGCCAAGCCCTAAATAAATAGTAAAGGCACTTTTAAAAAAAATGAGAAATTCCTAATTGGCATTTCAGTTATATTTTACATTCATAAAACTCTATAAATGTTTATAACTATTAGTATTTTGCTCTTCATTTCATAACTAGCTGTATGACTTTATGTCACTTCACCTCTCTGGAACTCAGTTACTCATTTTGTAAATGAGAAATTCTTATTTCTTTTTAAATACTTAGACTCAATTAAATCAGTACCAAAAAGATGTTTCAAGAAGAGAAGGAAGTTTCAGTGACTTCCAGTTCAAGCTTCATGAACTGACAAGCTTGCTGGAAGAGAAGGATGCTCTTATAAAGCGTCAGTCAGAGGTAAGAAAGGAAGGAGTAGGGGTGGAGAGGAACAATACAACTCAGTCCTGTAGGACAAATGCTTCCTATGAACTAGAAAAAGACACATTTCCAGGACTCACTTTATTCAAGAAGTAGAATATAAGTGCCTGGGAAAAAGTAAAATATTCATATTTCAGGAGAAATAATTCAAATGAAAGCTAGAATTGAAGCAAAAAATAAGTTCTATTGTGCATTTAATATTTTTAAGACTGATTTTATACTTCATTAGGAGTGAAACTCTCAATAAGACTGTGAGCTCCTTACTAGATTATTAGCTGCTTCAGCAAGAGGCTGTGTTATAGTCCTCTCTACCTGTAGCATGTAGCCCAAGATCTTATAAAATAGGTACCGAAGGAAAGAACCACCAAAAATGGTGCTTAACATTGTATTGCTGTTATTGAACAAATGGTACTTGTAACCTGCAGTGATGGACTTTCTGTTAGGAAATAATACCTGCTTCCATATTGAAGTTTCAATACTTTTCTGCTAATGGCTATACTTTTAAGCATTTTAGAACAAAATCTTTCATATCTTCATCTTGAGAACCATGCCCATTCAATCTCATGTTATCCCTCAAATATAGAAATCCTATACCAGTTAGTGGATTCCTGCACAGTCATATAATGTAACTTATTAGGTACCATGAAGCAAGAATATATGGTATTCAACAAGTGGGATTAGAACATTCTTATTTCAAGGCTAAAAAGAAAAGAAAAAGGTAATTATTCTTAGTAGCCTTGTTAAATGATCGAACATACTTCTTACCTAATGTTTCTACTGATTTCAAATGATTATATTGTCTTTTATTTGTAAGGAACTGTCGAAGTTGAGACAAGAAATATATTCATCTCATAACCAACACTCCAGTGGTGGAAGGACTACTATTACCACTAAAAAGTAATGTATTTTTAAATGAAATTTGAATATGACTTTGGTTATTATACAAGTTACAGCATGTTTAATTGATATATATACCCCTAGACAAAGTTTGGTGTTTTCTGCAGGCCCATAATTCTATTGAAGAATGAATATTCACAAAAAGACATAGCTACTATGGTCAATAAAATTCTGTAGCAGACCTTTCCTGTATTTACAATATATTAAATACAATGAAAGTGCAAAGCAAATAATCAGTTGTTTAATCAACCATGTTAGTCAGGACTCTTTCAGTTGCACATGCTAGAAACCCAACTGACTGGGAATTAGTTAATTCACTTAATTGGGATCACTCAGTGTCCAGATGCATTTGTGTGCTCAAAATATGTCTTCAGAAATCTGTCTTTCTCTATCTCTTGGTTCTGCTATAGATGTCATTCTTAGGCAGGATCTCCCCTCACAGTAGCAACGTGACTACAGTTTACATCCTAGAAATTTAGCAAAACCAAATAGAAAGTGACTCTTTATGAATAGCTCCAGCAAAAGTCTAGATTGTTTATTTCATATAAACGTAATAATACATAATGTGGTCTTTTGTGACTGGATTCTTTCACTTTGCATGATTTCAAGATTCATCCATGTTTCTATGTTTCAGCATGTGTCAGTACTTTACTGCTTTTTCTTACTAAATAATATTCCATTTTATGGATATACAGCATTTTATTCATCCATTCATTAATTGATGGACATTTAGGCTGTTTTCAATTTTTGGCTATTATGCATACTGCTATTGTGAATATCTGTGTACAAATTTGTGTGGACATATGTGTTCATTTCTTTTGAGGTTATACCTTGGAGTGGAATTGCTGGGTCACATGGTAACTGTATGTGTAACTTTTTGTTAAAAGTTTTCAAAAAGTGTTTTTGAACTGTTTTCCAAAGAAGCTGCACCATTTTACATTCCCACCAGCAGTGTATGAGGGTTCCAACTTCTTTCCATCCTCTGCAACACTTGTTATTGCCCATCTCTTGGATTATAGCCACCCTAAGGGGTGGGAAGTGGTATCTCATTGTGGTTTTGATTTGTATTTCTCTAATAATTAATGTTGATTAGTATTTATTCTTGAGCTTATTGGCCATTTGTATACCTTCTTTGGAGAAATAACTATTCAAATTCTTTCTCCATTTTTAAATTGGATTATTTTCTTTTATTCTTGAATTGCAAGAGATATTTGCATATTCTGGATACAAGTCCCTTATCACAGATATGACTTGCAAACGTTTTCTTCCATCTCATGGGTTGCCTTTTCACTATCTTGCTAGTATCATTTGCAGCACAAGTTTTTAATTTTGAGGAAATCCAATGCATTTATTTTTTCTTTTCTTACTTGTGCTTTTGGTATCATATGTAAGAAACCATTACCTAATTCAAGATCGTGAAGACTTACACCTATGTTTTCTTTCAAGAGTTTTATAATTTTATCTATTACGTGTAGATCTATGATCCATTTTGAGTTAATTTTTATATAGTGTGAAGTAGGGTTCCGAGTTCATTCTTGTGCATAGGGATATCCAATTGTCCTAGCATCATTTGTGTAATATACTATTCTTTCCCCGATTAAATTGACTTGGGATCCTTGTTGATAATCAAACGACCGTAAATGTAAGGATAAATTTATAGACTTTCAATTTTACTCCATTGATCTATTTGTCTGTCTTTATGCCAGTACCACACTGTCTTGATTACTGTAGCTTTTTTGTTAAGTTTTGAAATAAGGAGTGAGTCTTCAAACTGTTCTTCTTTCCAAGACTGCTTTGGCGATTTTTGGTCCTTTGCTTTTCCATATGACTTTTAGCATGAGTTTATGAATTTCTATAAAAAAATCCTATTGAGATCTTTGTAGGAATTTTTGGAATATGTAGAAAACTTTGGGTATTATTGCCATATTAGCAATATTGTCTTCTAATCCATGAGCACGTGTTCCTTTTCCATGCAGATCCTCTTTAATTTTTTAAAGCAGTACTTTGTAGTTTTCATTGCACAAGTCTTACATTTCTTTTTTAAAATTTGTTTCTAAGTATTATATTCTTTTGATGTTATTGTAAATAGAATTGTTTCCTTAATTTTATTTTCAGATTGCTCATTGCAAGTGTATAGGGTTAAAATTGATTTTTGTGTATTGATTTTGTATTCTTTAACCTTGCTGAGCTCATTTATTAGTTCTAATGGTTTTATTGGATTACTTAAAAATTTCTATATACAAGATCATGTCATTTTCAAATAGAGATAGTTTTTTACTTCATTTCCAATTTGGATCCAGTTTATTTATTTTCATTGTCTAATTTCTCCAAAACCTCCAGTACAATGTGAAATGGAAGTGGCAAGAGTGGATATTCCTGTCTTATAGTTTGTGTCTCTCAAGGAATTTGTGCATTTCATCTAAATTGTTGAGTTTTTTGGCATAAAATTGTCATAATATTCCTTTATTACGATTTCAACACAAGGGCTTTTTTTTATGCTTTCAAAACAAAGAATCTCTTTTAAATTTTTTTATTGAGATATAATTGACATATAACATTATATTAGTTTCAAGTGTACAATGTAATGATTTGATATATGTATATATTGTGAGGTGATCACCACGGTAAGTCTAGTTAGCATCCATCACTATACAGTTACAATTTTTTTCCTTGTGATAAGAAATTTTTGTTGTTGTTGGTAGTGGTGAGGAAGATTGGCCCTGAGCTAAGATCTGTTACCAATCTTCTTCTTTTTGCTGAGGAAGATGAGCCTTCAGCTAACATTGGTGCCCATCTTCCTCTATTTTGTATATGGGATGACGCCACAGCATGGCTTGATGAGCAGTGCATAGGTCTGTGCCTGGGATCTGAACCTGCAAACCCCAGGCCACCAAATTAGAGCATGCAAACTTAACCACTATGCCACAGGGCTAGCCCCAAGAACTTTTAAGATTTACTCATTTAGCAACTTTCAAATTTAATAGAGTAATTATTAACTATAGTCACCATGCTGTACAATATATCCCCTAGACTTATTTATTTTATAACGAGAAATTTGTACCTTTTGACCACCTTCACCCATTTTTTCCACCCCCTAGCCCCCACCTCTGACAACTAGCCATCTATTCTCTGTATATATGAGTTTTTGTTTTCAATTTCACATTTAAGTGAGATCATATGGCATTTGTCTTTCTCTGTCTGAATTATTTCACTTTGCATAATGCCCTCAAGGTCCATCCATGTTGTTGCAAATGGCAGATTTCCTTCATTTTTATGGCTGAATAATATTCCATTGGGTGAGAGTGTGTGTGTGTATGTGTATATATACATGTGTGTGTGTGTGTGTGTGTGTGTGTGTGTGTATAAAACACATTCGTTTTCTTTATCCATTCATACACTGATGGACACTTAGGTTGTTTTCATGTGTTGCCTACTGTAAATAATGTTGCAGTGAATATAGGGTTGCTGATACCTTTTCGAGTTAGTGTTTTCATTTCCTTCTGATAAACACTCAGAAATGGAACTCCTGATTATATGATAGTTCTATTTTTAATTCTTTGAGGAACCTCCATACTGTTTTCCATAGTGACTGCACCACTTTACATTCCTACCCACAGTGCACAAGAGTTCCCTTTTCTGCACATCCTCACCAACATTTGTTATTTCTTGTCTTTTTGATAATAGCCATTCTACAAGTGTGAGGTGATATCTTCTCTTTCTTGATATTAGTAAATTGTATGTTCTTTCTTTGCTAATCAGTCTGGTTAGAGCTATATCAATTTTAGTGATATTCTTGAGGAACCAGTTTTTGCTTTGCTTTTTCTCTACTATTTTCCATTTCATTGATTTCTTCTCTCGTCTTTCTTTCTTATGTTTATTTTCCAGTTAATTTTCTCTTTTTTCCTAATTTCTAACCTGGAAACACAGGTCATTGATTTTAGACCATTTTTAATACAAGCTTTTAAAGCTATAAATTTCCACTTAAGCCCTGCTTTAGCTGCATCCCTCAAATTTGATAAGTTGTGTTTTCATTTTGCATTCAGTTCAAAATATTTTTTAATTTCCCTTTTCATTTGTTCTTTGATCCATGGGTTATTTAGAATTGTATTTTCTAGTTTCCAAATCTCAGAGATTTTTCTACATATGTTATTGATTCCTAATTTATTGCCATTATGGTCAGAGAACATACTTTGTATTGATTATAATGTTTTTAAATTTATTGAGACTTGTTTTGTGGCCCAGAATATGGGCTCTCTTTGTAAATGTTCCATGTGCCTTAAAAAATATGTGAATTCTGTTGTTGATGGGTGTAGCATTTTATAAATGTCATTTAGCTCAATTTGGTTAGTAATGTTGTTCATGTCTTCTATATCTTTACTGATTTTCTGTCTACTTATAATATCAATTATCTTGGAAGGCATGCCAAAATCTCCAACTATAACTGTGAGTTTGTTTATTTCTTCTTTCATTCTATCAGTTTTTTTGCTTCATGTATTTTGAATTTCTGATAGGAGGTGCATGAACATATAGGACTGTCATGTTCTATTGATGAATAAACACTAAGGATTGTTACATCTTGTTAATGAGTTGACTCTTTTATCATTTAAATGATCCATTTTATCTCTACAAATGCTTAATATTCCAAAGGTTACTTCATCTGATATTAATATAAGTACTCTAGCTGTCTTTTGATTACAGATTGGATGACATATATGTTTCCATTCTTTTAGTTTAATCTATTAATTTATATCTAAAGTTGTTTTTTAAATAAATAGCATATATAGTTGGGACTTGTGTTTTTATCCAGTGTAACAATCTTTGCCTTTTAATTGGAGTGTTTAGACCAGTTGTATTTAATGTGATTATCTACATGGTTGAGTTTAAATTTACCAGCTTGCTATTTGTTTTCTCTTTGTCCCATATTGTCTTTGTTCTCCTTTTCCTCTTTTCTTTTTTCCTTTTAGATTAATTGATCATTTTTCATTATTGCATTTTATCTATTTTATTAGCTTATTAGGTATATTCCTTCTTTATGATTGCTATAAGGCTTACAGTATTCTTCTTTATCTTATCCAGTCTACCTTCAAGTAATATTATACTTCATCACATGTAGCATACAAACTTTATGATAGTATACTTCCATTTCCCCTTCATGATCTTTTTGCTATTTTTGTCATATATATTTACTTTTACATATATTATAAACCCCCAAATACATTATTATTTTGCTGTCAATAATCAATAATTTTTTAAAGAAATATTGACAATAAGAAAAACAATGTTTTAAATTTACCCACATATTTATAATTCCTGGTACTATTTTTTCTTTTACTTAGATCCAAATTTCCATCTGATATCATTTTCCCTCTTCCTGAAGGACTTTAACATTTCTTGTCCTACTGCTTTGCTGGTGAAGACTTCTCTTGACTTTTTATGTCTGAAAACAGTCTTAATTTTGCCTTCATTATTCAAAGCTATTTTTACTGTGTATAGAATATTAAGTTGATAGTTTTTTTCTTTCAGTACTTTAAAGATGTCATTCCACTGTCTTCTGATAAGAAGTTTGCTGTTAATCTCATGATTTTTTCCTCCTTAAGTAATGTTCCTTTTTCTCTGGCTGTTTGTAAGATTCTTTATCACTGGTTTTTAGCAATTTGATAATGGTTTGCCTCTGTTTTTCTTCATCTTTCTTTTCTTTGAGGTTCACTGAGCTTCTTGGATCTCTGTGTTTATAGTTTTCATCAAATTTGGAAACAGTTTAGTCATTAGTTCTTCAATTATTTTTTGTCTCCTGCCAATCCTGTAAGACTTCAATTACACCTACATGAGGGCACCTGATATTTTCTATCGCTAACTCATACTCTGTACATTTATTTCAGTCTTGTGCTTTATTTTGGATAATTTCTCTTGATGTCTTCAAATTTAATAGTATCTTCTTCAGAAGTGCCTAATCTGTTGTTAATCCCATACAATATAATTTTCATCTTTAGAAGTCAAATGTAGATCGTTATATACTCCACTGTTCTCATCAAGTTCATGCTTTCCTCTACCTTCTTGAGTATAGATTTTATATAATTTTTATATTTCTAATAGATGCACCCTTGCCTACTTTTTTTATTCTGTAATTTCTTGATCTGTTTCTACTAGTTTATTTTTGTCTTCATTATTAGTCATATCTTCTTGCTTCATTGCATGCCTACTAATTTTTTATTGAATGCCACATATTGTGATTTTACATACTTGAGTTCTGGATTTTTTTTTGGTATTACTCTTAAGTACTTTGGGGTTTTGTTCTGACATGAAGTTAAGTTAAGCTACTTGGAAACAGTTTAATACTTTCATGTCTTGCTTTTAAACTCTGTTAGAACAACCTGCAGTCTAGAACTAATTTCATCCCATTACTAAGGCAATACTCTTCAGTAGTCTCTGCCTGATGCTTCCTGTATTGGGCAGTCTTTCCACTCTTTATAGTGGAATACACACTATTCCCTTCACCATGTGAGCTCCAGGGATTTCCAGATTGCTCCTTACCAGTGGTTCTTTCCTCAGCCTCGGTAACTTTTTCACATGCATACACTGAGCAGTACTCACCCAAAGACTTGTGGGGAACTCTCCGCAGGTCTCCTGACATCTCTCCATCTACGTAGCTCTCTTCTGTCTGGTATTCTGCCCCACAAATTCTGGCTGCACTGGCATACCTTTACTCGAAATTCTGTCACCTCAACTTGGTAAGACTGCTGGGATCTGTTTTGGCTTTCATTTCCCTATCCTGTGACCAAGAAAATCTCCATGGAGTGAGCTAGGCACTTGTAGAGCTTATGTCATTTGCTTCCCTTCTCTGGGATCACTGTCTTGTTCTGCCAGTGGTCCATCATTGACAGAGCAGAAGTACCTCCCTCTTGCTCTCTTGAAAATAATAGTAGTAAATCTTTGCACATTGAGAGGGGATTTTCTTTTTAGAAAGAGTTAAAAGTCATTCAGAGCCAAGTTAACTTAATAAGGAGAATCAAACTAAGAGTGACTAAAAAAGAATAAAAGTTATTTTCTTGTACAGCTTGTAACTAACTTTTTTTCTGTATAGGTACAGGACACAATATCCAATCCTAGGCCTCCTGTATGATGACTATGAATATATACCACCAGGTAGTGACACACAGACTATTGTGATTGAGAAAACAGAAGACAAATGGACTCGTGTAAGTTCACTTGTGCATTTCTAGTCCTTCTAGGACTACAAATTTACATATATTTTCTATATGACAGCCTTCAAAAATTGTGGTAAAATATCAAAATGAACTAAAATCTTAGAGTTTATTTTTTCCTTTTAAGACTATTCCATGCTTCCCTTGCTGAAATATACTAGGAATTAAGAAACTTTGGAATTCTTCATACATAGGGCAATATAATTGATTATGTAAACTATAATAAATTAGCATGAGTTTTACTCCAAAGAAGAAGATGATTAACATTGGCAATATACTAATTTTATTTCCTTGCATATCTTAGGAATTATTGAACCGATTCCATTCCAATTTCAAAAAAACTCATTTTTTCTAAAGCAGGTAGAAAATGTTATAGACAATTATGGAGGGGAATGGAGGATGAAGAGGAGGCATGTTTTAATAGAATTTGTCTCGCAATCTTGAATGTGGTATTTATTACTGTAGATTATAAATTTTTAGGATTTTGAAAGAGAGGAGCTGTGTCTGTCTTTCTCACTAGATTGTAAGATCCTCCAGCTTTAAATCCCACAGTTATAATGAGGCTGAAGAGCACTTTAAAGGTCATGCACTCTAATATCTATCTTCTACAACATCCTCCAAGATAACCAGTGACACGGGCCTTAGCATCTTTTTAAGTAGCCCAATACATTGTTAATTGTAATTAGCAATGGGCTGATTAATAAAACTCTCTTCTTATAAAGGACTGAAAGCTACATTCCTAAAACTTTTAATTATTGACCTATTAACTTTTAAAGTGGTAAACGTTAAAACAGGGGATATATATTTCCCTAGCACAGTGGTTCTCTACCCAGGGCAATTTTTCCCCCTAAGGGACATTTAGCAATGTCTGGAGACATTTTTGGTTTTCACAGCAGGCAGATAGGTACTATTGGCATCTGGTGGGTAAAGGCCAGGGATGCTACTAAATATCTTACAATGTGCAGGATAGTTCCCCACAACAAAGAATTATCCAGCCCAAAATGTTATTAGCATCAAGGTTGAGAAACCCTGCTAACACAACAGAATGGCCTTGGGGTTTTTTTCTTCCTAATTATACACTCCTACACTACTGCCAAGAGATTCTAATAGTAAGCCATTGATAGTGATGTGAACTATGATATCCTTCAGGTGCAATGGACAGAAAAAAGGTTGAGAATCTCAGCTCCAAAACCACACGGAATCTGACTTTAACACTGTGAAAATGACAGCTTTGTTTTCTTATGTTAAAAACTGCTTAGGTACTAAAAGCAGGTAAAACTAATCTACAATTATTAAAGTCAGGAAGTGGTTATTCTTGAGGGTGGGTACTGACTGACAGGGAGCATAAGGAGGACTATAGGGTACTAATAATGTGATGTTTCTTCATCTGGGTGATGGTTGCATATGCGTGTTCAGTTTGGAAAATTCATTTAGCTGTATACTTATATGTGCACTTTTTCTATATGTTTATTATACTTCAGTAAAAGTCTTAAAATGCTTAAGTATACTGTGATGAACAATAGATAAATATACAAATGTCAGTCAATTATTCTGCAGAACCTTCTGAAGAACTTTTAAAATTGCAGATTTATAATTAATAAAATACTGCACATGTATAGCTAATAAAATTAATCATCTGTTAAATAATTCATTTTAAAAATTATCTTTTGGTCGAACAAGCTCAAATATTTGAGTAAACAAAAAAAATTAGGAAGTTTTTAGCTCTGACGCCCTTCTCTAACAACAATCAAGCCATCAATCTTTTATAAATGGTTGTCTATCATCAATGAAAGGGACCAACATTTAATAATCCCAAAATAATTTCAGCTTTGACATATGTTGTGTTTATTAGGTCATTAATTAGTTGAGAATTACTACTAATTATTAACTCATAAAAGGTACTTGATGGCCCAAGAACCAAATGAGCAGCAAAGGAAAGTCAACATATGATTTAAAATTTGTCCTTCAGAAATGATTTGATGCTCAACTTTAAGACTGAGAAGCAACTGCTGCTACTAATCACATGTGCCCCAGAGGTGGCATCAATGTGAGGACCTGCCAACTAAAAGGTCTACAGAATAGTAGTCATTACTTCTCTCTCAATTGCAAATGGGCAGCAACAAAAATCAAACCTGGTATCTGAAGGGACTAGATACTGATAGCAAATTCAAAATATATTTAAGTATGTTCACAGATGATACATCTATGTTAATAAATATTTAGAGACGTTTAGACATATTGAACCTCTAAATATGACACCAAGGAGGAAATCCACTCAATCCTCCCTCTTTCCTGCTAAAAATCATTTGAAACATATACCTTGACTAAAGTCAGATAAACAACTTTTCATTGAATATACATATAAAAGAGTACCACAAAAGTGCAGTACATTTCCTTTGGTTTTATATATATCAATTTAAACCATTTTTCACAACTGTGTGCATACAACGTCTTAAATAAATTATGAACCAATTATAAACTTTTTTTTCTTTTCTAGCCATGAATGAATCTCCACCTAAAAGGAGTTTTTATGTGTCTGCATTAGTACTTTGTTATTTTTCCATAACTAAAGGCCAATCAAAATTTTGAACCATGCTACGACCCAGCAAATATAATGGAATGAATGAGTTCTGCAGATGACAGTTCCTCCAGCCATTTATGAGGCCTGAATCCTTTCCATCACATTTTGGTATTCAATATAGCAACAGACGGTTTGTTTAAACTTCAATTGCAGACACTGTAGGACATAATCCACTACTTTTCAATAGAGTGCTTCTTAGACACTGAATTAATTTGTTGGGGTAGAGATTTTACAAGTTATTCAATTAGAATATTTTCTCTTATATTAGATGTGCAATTCAGCTACTGTTTTTAACCACAAAAAGAGGCGGAAGACTATTGAATTTAAAAAAAAGACAGTTTAACTAGTGCATGGTACATAGGTATATAAAATATAAAAGCATATATTTGCTTTTCTCACATTAAACCTTGTGACTAAAATAGATGCTTTATTGCATGCTATTTATAACTCTTGGAGACATAACTAAATCAAAGGTGATGGTTAATTTCATTTAGCAGAGAAGTGGGATAATATGTTTTTAAATAACTAAATCCACTATAGTGTACATTATGCTATTATAGTTCTAAGGACATATCAGTGGCTTGGAAAATCTGTTCTTTCAAAGCATATCATCCCCAAATGAGCCCACTCATTTCCTTAGAAACATATAACACTATATTGTAGTAGTGGGTGGAAGGAAGGTGGGCTTTTTTTATAGCGGTATACAAAACATAACATTGAAATATTGCATAAGGCTTAGGGAATAAAAATAGCAACAACAAATACTCGATATCTATATCCTACTTGGGAGAAAGAAATTTTATAGTAGAGTATTTGATTTACTTAGAAGATGGTTGATTAATTGGGTTCTAATGATGTTACAAAGTGAACACAAGTATTTTCTAAATACTATAGTAGATAAGAAGGAAATGTCTTAATTTCAACTCCTCTGGTTAAAGTTAAGAATTAAGTAAAAATGAAAATGTTTGAATTTTACACAGTATAGATTAAGGCAACAAATATATTTGGGTGACATGTGAATGAGGTTTTGCACTGAAATATCTCTGCAAATATCTATATAGAATTCTGTCATGCTTTGTAATTATATTCTAATAATTATTCATTATACCAAGAAACTGTTAAGATAGGAACAGATGAGGCACTACACTAAATCAAACCATAAATGAGGAGAAAAATGCTTTTAATGCTCTCCTATAAATAATCAAATAAGTCTGGATATGAAGCTAAAAGCGTTTTTCTTATCTTAATACTTTGACTAAAATGTTAAGCTCTGATGTGGGCTGATACATTTTCACTTTCATCAATATTTTGTGATAGAAAATGTTAATATTCTTCATGAGCTGTATAGTCCTTACATTTTTTCCCTTGGTGTAGGAACAGGGCACTTTCTCCTCCGCTAACTACTCATGTATGTGACTGTAACAAAATCATGCCATGTTATCTACCCATTACGTAAGATATGAATGGAAGTTTTTAGTAGCCTAATAGAAAACTGCCACCCTATCTGTTTGAAAATTAGAATGTGTGATTTTCCCCAAAATACTCTTAAATAAAAATAAATGTCCAAAATTGGGGGCAGTTAAGAAGTCAGCACTTCATTGGCTCACTTGATCCATGCATACTGAGTGAATGGGGGTCATAACAAAGTGATTATAGTTAACAAATGGAAATGAGTGTATTTTTTTTTTCGAATTTGTGATTAAGATCAATAGAAATAGTAGTGATGTTTTTCCCTCTCACAAGTTTCACACAGCTTCTCTCTGAAAATTGCAAAGATATTGTCAGGTGAGGAATGCCTGTTTATCTAATTTCTATTCCAATATGTTTCACTTTAGATGTTGAATAAAATAGAGACTGTGCAGTGACATGCAAAGTAATTTAAGTGTCTAAATAAAATATGTGAAGTATCTGTATGGTCTTTGTGGAAGTCTTAATAGGAAATATGCAGGATGGATTTTTACCTTAGCTGTATATTTTTGTCAGGAAGTTATCATCATGTGAATGCTTATGTTAGAGTTAACAAGCACTAATTTAAAAAAACCAACTTCCTAATGTGGAATACTATAGACAACACTTTAACGTAGTTGGACCTCAGGTTACATCAGGTTTCTGCTTTAAATGAAAATTTATTTGCTTACAAACCTAGTCTTCTAAGTTCTTTACTCACTTGTTTCAAACCTGATTCCATAAAGCGTTCTTCCCATCCTTATAATGGTGCTTTAATTGTAACACTTTTTCTTAACATAAACAGTACAAAAGGAACAAAGTAAAGCTTGAAAAATTGCATCTCACCACCCAATTTAGATCACCTTAACAAAAAGCCATTCTCACTTTGTTCTCATTATTGTAATCTACAAAGATGACATGTAGACATAATTCTTTTGAAAAGTAAATAATAAGATGTGAAAAGACTTCCCTACAAGGTACCACTCCCCCACCACACACCATCACTAAATTTATTGGATTACCATAGTACTTTTTGTCCAATAAAAAAATACAAAGCATTTCATGCTCATCCTAGGATAAAATAGTAAATATAATTTTAAAAAATGAAGAATGTAATAACAATTACATCTCTCCTAATAAAACTTTTAATATTTAGTGACAAAATAGGACATAGTACTTTTGAGTCTTCAAAGGAACACTGGAATTGTTATGACATAATTACATAATAGCCAGGCAGTCTTGGTAATCTCCTTGGATTGGTCTTTTGTAGATGAGATGCTAAGTCCAGGGTCTTTAGGTTTGGTTTCTGATCCCATTACATTAAAATAATTATTAAAGTTTATGTTCCATAAATCATTTATGTTGAATACTCCTAGCTCATGTGTGCCAAGATACAACAAACCAGACCAATTTCTCAAAATGGGAGAATACATAGACTTTTTGAGGTACTCCCCTTTAGGGGTTGATGAGCCAGGCATTTTATGATGGGTAGGTGGTGTTCGGATCTAGGATTAACAGAGTTTTGGAGTCAGATGGGAGGTGACTGAGACTTACATTATGGGTTAAATGGGATAGTTTCAATAATGCCAACTGGTCTGGATTCAAAAATGTAGCAGAGTTCCCTTTGGAATAGTTACTTGGGTAATGCTCAAAGAGAAAGGCATAGTAACTCTAACAAAGCAGTTGAAATCATTTTTAGTTTGGGCTATCTAGTGCTAGAGCCTTGACCCTACAAATTCAGTTTCTTCTGTGGGGCCTCCAGATTGCCACTAACAGTAGCCAGTTCTTATCTAGAATTCAAGGTTCTTAGAAACCTTTCTAAACCACCTATCAAATACACAAGCTAATTCTTTTGGAAGGACAGGGTGGAGCTAAACAAAGTTAGGAGGATTCTCCTATCCAATGATATTCTAGGGTTCTAATCTAGTTCTGTATTTTCTCTAAATGGACCCTTACTAGTCTTAAAAACCTTATTGGACAGAATTCCAAGTCTAGCCACTTTTTTCTTGATTTTCACAAGGAGAAACAGAAAGATGTGAACAAAAGGATTTTTTTGTTCCTCTGCCTTCACGGGAGTCAAGTTTTTTTTTTCCTGGAAGGAGGGATATTTAAGATTAAGAACTGTGCTGTATCTTCCTTCAAAAATTCATAAAAAGACGTCTGGGATTTACTTCAAATTAAACCAGTGGAAGAAGGGGGCTTCCAAATAAACCAATCAAGGGCAGGTGGGTGAAGGGAGCAGTGAAGAATATAAATGAAACAAAATTGGTCACGGAGTGACCATTGTTGAAGCTGGGTTATGGCTATATAGGGGTTCACTATATTCTTCTATTTCTGTATGTGGTTGAAAATTTTCTGCAATAAAAGTTATGTATCTATCATACATATCTTTAAGAGCTCAAGGTTCAAACTCATGGTTGTCCTGAATGATACACGAGTTCAATTTGAGAACTCTGAGTAAGAATTCCAAATACTTCCCTCTCCATCATGGTACAGGCCATTTAGAGGTGGCAATCATACAAATCCATCTCCACATAATGGCCCTGAACTGTTCTGGAAAAATGCTTTTTTAGCAATTCCCAAATTACTTCTTCTTGTGTAGGTACTTTGACCTGCATTTTTAGGTGAACTATGTTTTGTCATATAAGGCAAGCCTGTGCTGAGAAAATCCATTTTTAAGACAATCTTTTGTTTGTAACATGGGCTGAATTCTTATCTGTTCTATCTTGGCTGAGGTTTTCTGGATCCAATTTATAAGTAAGAGAAAGAAAATTTATCTACTTTTCTCCAGCTCCACTGTAACCATGGACAACTGGAATAACCTTTTCACACAGCTCCCTACTTCCCTTGGCTCCCCCACAATACATTCCTCACACAGCCTCCAGAGTGATCTTCAAAATGTAAATATTACATTACTCCCTTCCTTAAAACCCTCTGATGTCTTCCCATTTCAATTTCTCTCAGGTCTTCTCTCTTATCAGTCCCCACTCACCATGGTCTAGGCAAAGCTTGTCCTATCTCAGGTTATTTGCATCTGCATGTTTCTCTGCCATGAATGCTCTTCCACAAGATCTTCACATGAGTGGTTCCTTCTTGCCACTCATGCCTCAGCTCAAATGCCATGTCCTCAATACAGACTGCCTCTACCCATTCACCCATAGCTATCTGTTTAAGCAAAGTTGCCAAAGTGCACCAGAATTACACTGGGGGCTTTGGTCTAACACCTTATTACTCCTATGATGGTAACATGAGAGCTTGCTAAGAATGCAGTTGTAGGCTCCACCCCACACCAACTGAATCAGAATATGTATTTTAACAAGATCCCTAGGTGAACTCTATAGACATTAAAGCTTAAAAAGCACTGGTCTAATATGTAACGGTTAATAGATTTCTTCTTTTTCTGTTACTGATCATTAAAGAATAATTAACCCAATTGACAAAGAGTCTTAAGCAATAGAGCTATATATCTAGGTACATGAATTCTATTGAATACTGGCTAATTTGAATATAGCAGGTTATTTTTATGCTCATTTGCAGAAATCTTTCCCAAATACTTGATTTAATACTTTTTCTTCTGAATGTATATTGGTCTACTGGGCACATAATTAGATTCATTTCTCAGGATAGTGTTACTTAAGTAGGTTAAGAACTTTTAGTTTTCTCTATAATACTAAATCTCAAGTCTTAAGATGGGCACCTTTAGAGCATCTGTCATGGTTTTAGCAAAAACATACATTTTTGAGAAATAATCATGGCATAGTCATCATAATTGCTTAAATTCCTAGCTCATGTTGTTGTTAATGCACAAAATTCTACAAGACATTAAATTGCGGACCAAACTGCATATGAGCAATTTCAAGTGAAAAGTCTTTTAATATAGAATGAACATTACAACACTACTTTAAATAAACTCATAAAACCTTGAAGTGCAATAAATGCTTTTTATTGTATGCTCATTTCAATGAGTAACATTTAGAAATAATAATCCCACGTAACAGTGACAATTTTATTTTACAGCGTGTACATCATTTACAGCCACATAACACACAATTTTAGATTTTCCAAATTTAGTATTCTCAAGTTAAGAAAGATAAAAAATTTATTTTCAAGGAACTGATTCTTATCTGGTGCAAAAACAGAAAGGTGAACATTATTTGAAACACAAAGCCACAATATAGCATGAAGTAAAATTACATTTAATTATGTTGAACAGCTGAGTGTAAACATGAAGCAACTAAAACTTAAAAGTACACGTCATATGCATTACGTTTATGAACATAATTTTCATTAAATTTCCCTAAACCAGCTTTTTATATTAAGCGCCATTTTGATTTGCAGCATGCTAACACAAAGCGTTGTTAAAGGGATGCATATTTAAATTTATACACTGTAAACTGAATATCCACCTTCAAACTCTATTGGCAGCATAGTGTTTTGTTAAATACCGCATAAATACTGTCTCATATTGAAAATGCATGTTAATAATATGGTATATAGATTTTAAAAATCAAAATCTTCAATAATGGCATAAAATTGCACCTTTAAACATTAGAGCAAGTAAGAGTAGAAGAATCATACTTGCTAAGACTGTCCTAAAAAAAAAACCTCTAAACATTATAATATTTAAGAAAACTGTGTTCTCTCAATTTAATCTTTAGATCATTAAGAAATATAGTGCTAACTTTGTTTGCAACACTACTGTTGCATCTGTTTTAGAAAGCCACATTTGACTCAAATATACTTTTGTCATATATGCCATACTGAACAACAATCAACTTGAACATCAGAAAAAAAGGGAACTTCAATCCTTAGACTTCAGCACAGAATGCTCTATTTTAAACATCCTATCCTGTGATAAAATCTTAGCAGCTTTGAAATTCTTTTTAATAGTACTGAATTAATCTAACCTGTTTTCTGGTGAAATTCTTTTAATGAATACACAAAACTTTGCCATTTCTGGAATTCAATTTCCAAGTACCATATAAAAAGGCTCAATGACGAAATGATTGATGGATGACTACATTTTATTTCTCCACCCCATTTCTAAAATTGCATAAAAGTGAGGCTTGCTTGCCATAGCAAAGCATTGCTAAAGTCCTCAATTATGTATAACCTTTTCAGGAACATTTGTCTCTAGTATGATCAGCCAAATAAAGTCATTGTCTTTGCTCTTCCCCTCTGTAGTTTAATTATGCATATAAGACTATTAAATAGACACTTAAGAAGTTTTTACACAACCATTCTATGGTGTTTCTTAAATTCTTTAAGTAATTTTCAAAGGGCTATGAGATCCCCTGTTAATTCAAATATGTTAAGATCTTTAATACAAAGAATGTAAAGTTATGATTTAATATCAAGCTTTGTAACCAGATGAAATAGTTTGTGAAAATTTCCTCCCATGTAGTTTATCATATTTTCTAAATAGGTTCTTTCTTTATACTGATCTTATTACATAAGAGCCTCCTTGTGGTGCCTCATAATATGCTGATTTTTTTCTGATGGTCTTCGGAATCCCTTCTTGCAGAATTCACACCTGTGTGGATAGTCTTTTGTATGTATTGATATTACGTGTCGTTTAAAGCCAGATGCATCTGTAGTGCTGTATTCACAATACTCACATTGGTAAATCTTCCTTCCAGTGTGTGTTTTCATATGCTTTTTGAGCTCATTTTGTTGTCTAAATCCTCTCTTGCACCTTTTACACTTCAATGACTGATCCTTAGTATGAACTGAAAGGATATGACCACTAAGAATAAATGGATCTGATGTTTTAAAGTCACAGTGCCTACACTGATGAATCTTCCTACCCTTATGGATATCACTATGCTTTTTGAGCTCAGAAGGACGATGGAAACCTTTATCACAGACCTCACATTTGTGAGGAAAATCCTTAGTGTGGACAGATATGATGTGCCGCTTAAGGTCACTTGAGTTGGTGCTCTTATGGTCACAATGAGGACACTGGTGTGTCTTATGTCCTTGAAATAAATCCAGATGGCGCTGAAGCTCCCTCTCATCACCAAATGCTTGGGGGCAATGCTCACATTTATATGGCAAATTGTTACCATGCTTAGACTTAATATGAGTTTTCAGATTTGATTGATCTGCACACCTGAAGACACAATACTGACACTGATATGGCTTCTCACCAGTATGGGTTCTCATATGTTTCTTGAGTTCAGATGGATGTCGAAAGCCCTTCCCACACTCAACACAAACATGAGGAAAATTCTTGCTGTGAACAGCCAGTAAATGTCTGTTTAACAGTCCTTGTTCTGCAGTTTCATAGTCACAGTATTTGCACTTGTGCATCTTCGGCTCCTTGTCTCTTAGTATAAGTTTATTTGAACTCAGTGGGCTAGCCTCTCTGTATCTTCGTGTGTATTCTGTAAATTCATGGGTTTTGTCAACTTTGTTTATAAGCTTATGGCTTTCTAAGTGGTTATGGAAACTCACTTTCTTGTTAGTTGTAAAGTCACAATCTGTACACTGATATTTTTTCCTTATCAAATGATCAGGATGATTCTTCATGTGTCTTTTCAAGAATCCCCTGGATTTAAACTTTTTTGTGCAAATATGGCAAGGGTATACTGTCAGGGGCTGTCCATCAGGGCCTATTATGACAGCTAGAAAAAAAATAGGGGAAGTTGTGACATTTGGCTGAACTGTTTTAAAGGGTTTTACAACAAAGGCGCCAAAATCAGCTAACATTCACAATGTGAGAACTTTACTAGTGGAATAAAATCCTATAAGATAAAATATACATTAAAAGCAATTTATGATGAAGTAGCTCACTAAAAAGTAATGAACAGCACTCTACTAAAGACTACTTACCTCCCAAAATGTTCTATCACATGCACTTTGTAAACTAGAAACAAGACCCTTTATTGTTAAACCAACTGAAAATTCTCTTTACAAACATCATTTTGGTAAAGAACAAACAAGCATAGTTTTATTAAGTATCAAACACTTAAAAAGATCCAACTATTTAGATCAAATACAAACAGGTACATGGGAGTAGACTATACTATAAACCACCGACTTTTTTTCTTTGATTGCAAAAAAATACTTCTACATTTCAAATCGTTATAATATTCATAAAGCAAAATATTAATATTTTACCTGTTTGCCACTGCCTGGTTTCTCCCCTTCTCCTCTTCTTGGCTTTTTGTTTAAGTACTTTATTCGTATTAATGCTATCGCAAATTTGAAGGTACTGTGTAGCTGTACTACTTCTGTTTTCTAATGTTGAGTCTAAAGTATTTCCTGAAAAAAAAAATCAATATAGAATTAAACTACATATATTTATACTTTTTTGGTTTTGGTTAGACGAATTACCATAGATGACATAGCTGCCACTGCAGTACTAAATTTCACAAAGTATACCCATTTTCTCTTTCTCTCTCCTTTACACTCATAAACACACACATGTGCATATGCAAACACTTTAAATAGGATATCACATGAAAACAACTTCAAAATATCCTAATTTATTAACTCTAAAGGAATAAACTGATAAGGTGAACATAATGTAAGAAACTGAATTTTATGACCCTAAACAAAGTCTCGGCATCCAATCAATTTCTCACCAATGAAGGCTGATTAATTTAAAATTAGAGATGTAGCAAAGAAATATACATGTCTCAATGAACCAATATAGTCGTGGTGACCATATGTAATGCATAACAAACAACAGATCTGTTGTATACATGCCTTAGAATAGTTTACCTAATGTGAAAAGTATTAAGATTGATTTTAAAGGTTAAGATAGATGTAGCAGGCAATTCACCACAATTTCAGTGGGATCAGTGTAAATAGAACAAAGTACTTAACAAAATCTCAGTTCTCATAAATCTGTTGTTATGCAGTTTAGTTAAAAAATGTAGACCTACAAAATTTGTTTAGCTCATATGCTGTGATAAATGCCTTTTATCAATTCCTCTGAAATCTACATTTAAATTTAGAGAGTCAAATACCTTCAAAGGGTAGAAACAGAGCAGTCAGACACTTTATCATGAGAAAAAGTCTCCTCGCTTAAGAAAATAAAAAGAACTATCAACCATGGAATTACACTATACGGAGTGTATTAAAACTAGAAAAGAAAAAGTTAAGCTGACACATGGTTTTATGTAACAGTTATATAAATCTACTGGTTGCCATAGAAATTAAGAAAACAGTTCCTCCCCAAGGAAGACATTAACAAGTGGTTGATATCATGGATAATTTTTACTTTTCTGTCAAAATAATTTCTATTTTATAATTTTTTCCATAGCAACCTTTTATGGCACATGTGGTAAGTTTCCCAATATTTGTATCTTGAGGTAAATCTAAAATAAACTGCGTTCACAGAATAACACACGTTATGTCTGTATATAAATTAATCAATTCCCCAAAGAGGCAAACTCTTATGTAACTAACTAGATCAGATATGACTAGGCAAGTAAGAGTCCAACATATGTGTCTATATACACAAACTAATACTTTTCATTTACTGAGCAATATACAAAACCGGCTATTTAACCTACATCTCACATATAATGCTCTCTCACCTGATGCTTGACAATCTTCATACCTTCGGGAAACTCTTCTTTCATCTCCTAAAAAAAGAAAGAGTAATTAAAAACTGATATACTAAGTATAATGAGTACTAGTGGATCACATCTTAATCTACAAAATCTTACTTTGACCACCGTTCCTTGGATTAAAATTTTTTTTGTTGAGTTCTTCCACTCTCATAGATTAGATAATTTCACCTACTGAAAATAAGGGCTGCTGTCAGCATCCTTGGAACTGTTAACATCTAGAACAATCTTACTTTTTTTGGTGAGGAAGATTGGCCCTGAGCTAATGTCTGTTGCCAATCTTCCTCTTTTTGCTTGAGTAAGACTGTTGCTGAGCTAACGTTTGTGCCAATCTTACTCTATTTTGTATGTGGGATGCTGTCATGGCGTGGCTTGATGATTAGTGTGTAGGTCCGCACCCAAGATCCAAACCTGCGAACCCTGGGCCGCCAAAGTAGAGTGTGTGAAATTAACCACTATGCCACTGCGCTGGCCCATAGAACAATCTTACTTTTAAAATAAAAACTGGGTAGATATTTCTGCAGAGTACCCTCAAATTTGAAGATGCTCAATAAATGACTGTTGAATGAATGAACCTTTGGAAAAAGCAAGTTAAGATTAATGCATTTGAACACCAAAATTTTTCAAAGTAAAGAGCATGCCTGGACCACCTTGTAAATTAAGTAGGAATGAGTTAAAATATAAAGGAAAAAATAACTTGATAAATTTACCTTGTATTACATATTTTCTAGAAGAGCACCCCTGGATTTCTGTTCCTTTTCAAAACCCCAAAATCTTATTATTTGTGGTGTTAATACATGAAATAAGTTTTTCCAAAAGGGGAAGGATCAATTTTCAAAGGAAATTTCTATTTTAGAAGAAACTTTTTAATGGCACTCACTTCTACAGGTAGGATTTAAAATAAATCCTTCTGAAAAACACAATGCATTAAGCAAGGTTTATCTTAAGTAACACAAGATATGTGATAGGAAAATCAGGTAAGTAACTAGAGATCAACCAGTCCACAGCAAAACATTTTATAATATTAGCCAACTCATGGGGGGCATCAGCACAGCATATTTAATGACCTAAAGGCTGATCAAATAGATATGTTATGTACTTATCAGGTGAAAAAATGCCAGTGTCCTACCATATGCCGCAGACCAGACAACAGGGACAACTGTTTTATTAACATCAGAGTCCTCAAGCTGAGTCTCAGGGAGAGAAGTTCCTTCCTCTTCCCCTACAATGACTTCCATGTAAACTTCATCTGCTATTTCAGCGCAACCTAAATTTTAGAAATAATTGCTTGTTTATAACCCCCAATATTTAATAAATGGGTAAAAAATTCTAAACAATTTAAATCTTTCAACTTTCGAGATTTCAATTTGGTTAACTTAAAAATAACATTAGGCACTTTGGAGGCTAGTGCCACTAGGAGACAATGATTTATTAAAATTCTTCTCCTCTTATAACTTAGTTCTATGAAAATGACTTTAAGATTAGACAAAACGTGCGCTTGAAATATACTGACTGATTTTACAGTCTATTGGGCATTACAAATTTATTAAAAGGGTTGTATTCCATAATTCTGCCTGATAGTTCTTTGGAACTCAAAAAGCATTTCCCATAAAATCAATACTAGAAAGTGGCCCATGCTATCCCACATACTGTAACTTAAATGCAGAACTGTACATGCAACGAAAAATAGTCAAAAATACTAGCAATTGAAAAAAATTTAAAAATAAAAATAATTAAAATTATATATATATAAATAATATATATAATGCTGGAGCTCAAGAATGTGTGGACACCCTTTAATTGGCAGAGTTTTCAGACCCTACTGAGGAAAAAAGCATTAAGTGAGACTCATTAAAAAATATATAGTAGTAGTGTAAAAAAATTTAAACCTAGAGGGTTACTCAGTGTATGTTATGTGAAATAATCCATTTAGATTTAACCTGTTAAACAGAAAATTGGTTTCAATTTATGCTTTTCCTTTGATTCACATACTGGGGTCTTCTACTCGCTATAAAAGAAACGTGGAAAAAATGTGGAGAAAAAATGTCCCTCTTCTCCTAAGTTTCCTTTCTTTCAATTAACTAGAAAGAGATATTGGTTTAAGTTTTCAACATCCCCATGGAACTGTGGCTTCAGCTAAGCTAAGCCTCAGCCTCCTACCTTCTACTGTGCCCCTTTTACAGACCAACGAGTTAAAAAAAAAAACAAAAACTTAGAGACCAAATAGAAATTATTTCATTTAACTCTTTTCCTCTCCAACCAAACCCTCCAGACTCACTTATTTTGATATTTTCAGCTGTGGTATATTATTTATGTTTGGGATTGGAACTCAGCTCCCCATGGCTTTTAGGGAAGAAAATTTGAGCGTGGGGATCAGAGTGCAGTATAGGTATAACCGAGCATTGTCAAGGTAATGCACTGAAATAAAGACTCTTGCTCTCATAGAGCAAAACAAAATAGTTTTTGTCTCAGCATGGCAAGACGACAGAAGAAGACTTAGAGAAGGACTGCACTGCTACACTGAGGTAAGGAGAAATTAGGCAGAGAATAAAATGACTTTGTTATGTCACTGTCTGGAAATGGGTACTAAGAGCAAGAAAAGAATCTGAGAAGCTTTTTTACCCTGTGGTACTCAGTCCCAAGAAACCTTAAGCAGCAACTACTTAGAGATCATCAAAGGATATAAGTCAAGATCCTGGCAGCTTGACTTGGAAGAATACTTACTCAGCTAATCCCTCAGTGCCAGAGGGAAAACAACCATTTAGCCCTTCCACTGCTAAATCCAGAGAGGCCAACAGTGTTCACTGCCATGTGAAAAGAACACTGGCAGTAGAGTTAGACAGATATGAGTCCAAATCCTACCTTACTCATTTAATATTGGAATGATCTCGGGCAATTACTTAACTTCCCTGAGCATTTCTTCCTTCCACAAAACAGGGATAATACCACCTACCTCAGAGATGAATTGTGAAAATTAAATGAGGTAATATATGTAAAACATATCCAATAACACACACAAAGTAGATTCTCAATAATTCCCTATATATCTGTGGGCTCTACTGAAGTCAGGAAGCTTGTGTTGCTGATTTCTGTGTCCCTAGTATGTGAGAGACAGTATTTCATGTTTGCTGATTTGAACAATACATGTATGCATGAATGTTTAAAAGAACCCTTCTCTTTTAAATTAATTACAGCAAGGGGTCAGGCTTATTTTATTGACCTGTGTTCCTATATAGTGCTTTTATCTCTGAGATTGCTTTATTTTTTAAAAAGAATGCATGATGGCTACTGATAAGTCACTACAGTGCCCTTTTTTTCTTACTGATATCATCTTCTTCCTGAGAAGAATCTTTAACTGCCATATAAACCATCTTCTCCCGCTGCATTCGGCTCTGGTCAAGCACTCCAGATACAGAATGTCCATTGGTGTACTCGCTCTCTGTGACAATTTCTGTTCCACCTTAAAAATTAAAACACGTATCAAAATAGAGAAGTATCATGGAATAATTCCCTAAATTAATAAGGAGGATATATAAGAAGTATTTTCCTTTAGAAAACTATTCCCCCAAAGTATTCCAATATAAATTTCTAAGTGTCACGGGAATTTTCTTATAAATTACACTTTAAGTTTTCAGTCATCACTGAGAAATAACACATGTTAACAATAATATCACACTTACATGCCAAGCACTATGTAAGTCTTTTACTTGTATTTACCTATTTACTCCTCACAACAGCCCTATGAGGTAGTTGCTATCATTATGGCCATCTTATGGAGGAGGAAACTGAGACAGAAGGAGGTTAAGTAACTCATCAAAAGCCAGTCACCTAAGCGGCAGAACTAGGAAATACTACTCAACTATAAAAAAAGATGAAATCTTGCCATTTGTGACAACATGGATGGACCTTGAGGGTATTATGCTAAGTGAAGTAAGTCCGACAAAGTCAAATACTGTATGATTTCACTCATACAAAACAACAACAAACACACAGACACAGAGATTACACTGGTGGTTATCAGAAGGGAAGAGGGGAGTGAGGAAAGCAAAAGGGGTGATAGGACATATGTGGACGGTGGCGGATGGTAATTAGCCTTTGGGAGGTGAACATGATGCAGTCTATGCAGAAATCGAAATATAATGATGTACACCTGAAATTTATATAATGTTATAAAGCAATGTTACCTCAATTAAAAAAAAATCCAAGCAGCCTGCCTCTAGCCTGCCCTTAAATACTCATTATAATTTCCTACTCTAAACCAAACCCTCTCCACTCATTTGATATTTCAACTGTAATATTCTACTCATGTTTGAAAGAATCTAAGAATGACATATTCTGCATTCCTGTTTTATATTCATGTACATTTTTCTATATTCCATCCTCAAAGAAACTTATAAAAAATCTGCACTTTGAAGACAATTTTAGTCATCAGAAAAGAATAAATTCTAATTCCTATTATAGCAATAAATTAAAATTAGTCTTTGTACCTATTTCAACATCATCTTCCGCCTCAGCTTTAAAAATATACACTTTTATTACTTCTGAACCAAATCCATCTTCTTTAACATCTTCTTGTGAACCATCACTGCCGATTTTTAATGGTGTGTTCCCCATATGCTCTAATTTTTCCCCAACATCATCCACTGTAAAACATAAAGAGGAAACTACTGCATTCAAAAAGTATTATTGACATTTAGTGGGTGTTAAGCATAAGTGCAACATGAAATAATGTGTTAACAACCTACCCACTATATTCACTTAATGAACTATAATGCAACCATTAAAAGTGATATGTTTCATGAAAAAACAGTAGACGAGATCGGATATACTACAAGATCACAATTATATAAAGAACCTATTCACGGATTTGACTTTACATATACAAAATACTTAATAACCGTAAAGCTTTAATTAATGGTTTGGGAAAAGATTAAATAATCTTCCATCATGTTCAATATTTTAAGTTAAATCCTGACATCAAAATTAATAACAGAAAAATCAGAACACAAAACACATAGTACTCATTAAAAAAGCTCACGTAAACAATAATTCCTCAATTAAAGAGCAGTATTTCTAAAACCAATTAACAAATGAAATGTAAAATTAAAACAAAACAGGTAACAGGGGCCAAACCCGTGGGTGTGGTGGTGAAATTTGACATGCTCCCCTTCGGCGGCCCGGGTTCGGACCCCAGGCACGGACCTACACCACTTGTCAGCCACGCTGTGGTGATAACCCACATACAAAGCAGAGGAATATTGGCACAGATGTTAGCTCAGGGCTAATCTTCCTCAGCAAAATAAAAAAGGGGGCGGGGGGCTTTTCAGAAATCACTATAGAAATAAAATCTTAGTAAATACTCAATTTCTGTTGAGTCAATGGAAGACAACTTCAAACAGAAATTTTGTATATTCTAGGTTTACCAACTTATGCTTTACTTCAAAATCATATACAAAAGTAAAGCAACAATATTTGAAAATATATTACTTAGATTTTAAGCATATTTTAAAATTTTGATTCTCTGCTATGCAGTCTTTAATGATAACAATTAGTTTCAAATGAATACTATGCACAAACTATTAATGAATATATTAATAAACTTTGTTCTTTGACCATAAATATTAAACAACATATTCTCCCTAATATGCACCTACCATTTTTTATTTCAGTGCTTGTCCCTATAAAAACTGAAATGTAATCTAAATAAAAAAACATGCTCACCCTATTACAAATACCTATTACAAATACCATAGAATCATATATGAAACAAAATCCTGAAGCCTCTGACGGCATGTAAACAATTCAAGAACTACTGAAAACAGAATAAAGTGACATTAAAAAGTTATTAACTCAGTACACTTAAAAAACGAATTTCGAGAAGATCTAAATGGGTCAAAGTCTAGATTTTCCCTATCTCAGTTTCAAATTTGAAACATACAACTTCAAAAATATTCTTTTGGTCCTTCACAATGGTGAAAAACAACACATTTCAGAAGTTCTTTTCACAATGCAAAGCTACTTTAACTTTGTGATTAAATACAAATGATTCCATACTATTCAAGAATTCAAATAGTCTGTCCACGAAAGAAAGCACCTAAATGGCCAAAATAAATAGACTAAATATTTTCATTCCATCACAGACCCTAATTCTATTACTACATTTTTGGGCAAATATTTTTTTGACGAGATACATTAAAACGAAAGGAAAAAAGATGAAGTATCTAATATCACTGGTTCAATAGCTTCTCTTTAAAATATGTCGAATAAAACAATGAGATCATAGAAAAAGTTGAAAGAATCAAGTTTTCAGACAAAAAGTACTTTCTTATTCTTGGAAATAAAGACATAGGATATACAAAAACCTCAACAAGTGTCCAAAATATGAATTTCTTAGTTTGGAATAACTTACAGTAAGTTAATGAAATAATAAAAATACTCTCATTTGATAAATACTGCTTCATTATATTTGAATGGTTTAAAGTAATCACAGATCCTTCTGGGCTAAACTGGATTAAAACTGTAATTCACAAAATTAAAGCTCACGATATAGAATACACATTTTTTGTCACTTCTCAATAGTTTTGCACCATAATTTTCACTTTAAGTATTTAAATTAGTTGCTATTTTGATTCCATTGATACTTGTCCTTAAGGTCCATAGTTTAATGTATCAATTATTTTCTACTTAGATTCCTGAGAATGAACAATTTTGAAATGTACTGAGGAACTAAACTTGTTCTGCATTTTAAGTTTATAGAAGATGACAAAGTTATTAAAGATGTTAGTATGCAGTTTTAAGAGATAAACCATCAACTTCACCAGGATTTAGGCTATATCTTTTGTTATAGAAAGTACAAAGTTAACAAAGACTTTATGGGCAATCAACTCAGTTCAGAAATATATCCTCAAACATTCTTCTTAATGCAGATAATACTCAAAATACCCAAAATTCAAGTTTAACCTTTTTGCTGGTTGTACGCCTTGCAATACTCAAGTCCCACAGTGTTGTTTCTCAACCCACATGACATCCCCGGTAGTAATAAGCAGATAATATTATACACACCACAGAATCCTACTGGTGCTAAATATAACATAAAAGAATAAACCACATTGTTTGCCAACATTGCAAAGTTTGCTAACTCTTTTATAGCCCATGGGCACAATTTGATTAAAATTTCATTGTAGCAAAATGTAAAATATAATATTCCTTTTTAAAGCTAAGTAGGCTTTTTACTGTACCCTTTTTTTAATTACCTTTACCAAAACTATATGGTGGATATGATATTATCAGAATAGAGTATATTGATGTACCACAGGGATGGGGTTAGACAATGTGGAAAGGATCTGTATTTCACAATGATGAACCAAACAAAAATTAGTAACATTTAAATTATAAAGGTGTTCCACTCCCATGTATATACCCGAGAGATCTGAAAACATATGTCTGCACAAAAATTTGCACATAGGAGCATTATTCATAATAGCCAAAAAGTGAAAACAACCCAAATGTCCATCAACTGATGAATGGATAAGTAAAATATATATGTATATAATGAAATATTACTCAGTAATAAAAAAGGAATGAAATACTGACACATGCTACAACATGGATGATCCTTGAAAGCATTATGCTAAGTGAAAGAAGGCAGATACAAAAGGCCACATATTATATGATTCCATTTATTGAGAACAGACAAATCTATAGAGACAGAAATTGGATAAGTGATTGCCTGAGGTAGATGGAGGTGGGGGAGTGATTGCTAAAGGGTATGGAGTTTCTTTTAGGGGTGAAGAAAAAAATTCTAAAATTGATTGTTGTGATGGTTGTACAATCCTGAGAATCTACTAAAAACCTTAAGTGGGTGAATTGTATGGCATGTGAATTATATCTCGATAAAGTTGTCACTATATTAAAAAAAATACAAAGGTGTTAACTTTTCTCTTTTATCCCTGAAAGCGGCGAGGTTTGATGAGATCTCCCCTAATGACACTACCAAGATATTTTGCTTTATACAAAATTGTTCCTGAATGAAATATAAACTGATTTTAGAGGTTAAAAAAATAATTTGAATGCATTCTATTGGTTCATTATTTAAAGGAACCTCCCTCCTTCAGTGAAGCTTTTCATAAAGGAAATCATCACCCATAAATGTCTTATGGGTGTTAGATATCTTTAAAGAAGAGTGCGCCTAGGATAACTTTAGACAGATACAGTTATCCTATATTAATTTCCAAGTTACTTAGCACAAGTGGGAGAGCCTAACCGTCCGCTAAGATAAAGAATTTGTGAGATAAAGAATTGTGACGTTTGGCCTGAAAGCAGAAAAAAACTCAGACACACCTAAGACACTGAGAAAAGACAAACTCCTACCTCTAAGACTCAGCTATTGATAAGATTTCCTTAGAGAAATATTTAGGAATTGAGGAGGAAGACAAAGGTTGGTTTGAAGTCCTCAACTTTATCTCTGAGATGTTTTGAAAATCTCTATCTTGGGGAAAAAAACAGGGAAGAGGGCTTTTTAAATTAACACTGAAGCCTTTTAAAGCAATTTTTTTTCTGAAAGATGCAATGGCCAACAGAAACGAAGAGGTAAAGAAAATGAAAATTAAAAGATGAAGGAAAAAAGGAAAAACTAAATCAATATAGAATAAAATAAAATAAACGGAAGTGGTAAAAAGACTAGTCCCAATTTGAGTATTATAACCATTATAAAAATGGTCAAGGATCTGGATGGTGGAAAAATGGTTGCTATAAAACAATATTTAATTTTTGAATAATTGTATATTCCATTTTAAACAATAAAACAAATTCCTTAAGTTTTAAGGAGACTTTACAAAATTTTTGCTGTTTCTCTACTAATAATTAAAAAGTTAATTAATTCTGAGTCTAAATTCCCCCTAAAATGACCACATAGCAGTTCCAATATTATTCAAGCAATACAGTGTTCTTTATAATTTTCAGTCTAATTCTATTAGACTAGAAAGAAGTCCTTTGAATTTGACATATATGGTAATATCAAGATAACTATTCTAAATTATATTATTCTAGTAACTTTTTTTAAAAAACCTTTTGCAGAATCAAATCACAGAAGATAAGTTAAGGTGTGACTATTCACAATACATATGATGTCTACATTTTAGACCACTTAAATAACAAAGAGTTTAATTTGACAAGTATCCTTTTAAAGGCATACTGAATTTATTTTGGTACAGAAAGACTACCAACTTTTGCCACACCATTTTATATAAGCATAGCCACAGTTTTGTTTTTTTTAATGTCAGACTAAGATATAAATATGGAGTTGCTTTTGTAATCCACGTCAATTTAAAAAGAGGTAGTAACATTTGCAGTCTTTTAGTGGCTTAAATCATTCTCTTAAAAACATTGTAAATATTCACCTTCAAAAATGCTTATAGAGGAAAAAAGTTAACATGCTAGACTTCAGAATCATATTTACAAATTAAATAAATCTAATTTGTTTTTAGTTTTAAATTCACTGATACACACTTATACAATCACTCTATACACAAATACACATATTCTACCTGGCAATGCACTCCCCAAACATCTAAGAAGAAAAGATCAAAATTCCTCCCTGGAAAAGTGAAATCTTTATTTAATCTTTACTACTTCCAGCATGAGCCCTTCAAATTTTCTAAAGAATAGAACCACTTCTTCCTCAAGCTCCATCAATAACTTATCATGAGATTTTTATTACTGTTGCTCTTCAGGCAAACCCACCACTTAAATTGAGAACAAGATATTTCTCTCTTCCTCTTTCAGACAGAATGTCTTAAGGACACTGTAAAGCAGTCTGAAATAAACATATTAAAGTGTTTTTGCATAGAATATACACACATATTTAAAAAGAGAAAATAAACACAGGGAGAACTATAAAACACAATCTGAGCTTATGTTTTACTTTTCAAGTATTTAATAAAAAAACTAATTATACATTTCTTAACATAGCATACTTAAATTCCTAAGCAAAACTGAACTGACAACTCCAGTACCTGCCATATTAAAAAGAAAGCAGCGGCTGCCTAAAATAAACTTCTCATTTTGAAATATATATATTTATCATTAAAATTTAGTATCAGTTAATATTCTTGTTGAACCTTCCAAATCTATGTTTCTAGTCTAAGATATTAATAAATTGCATTATTTTACTTAATTTTGGGCATGAATTTTCATTGAGTAAATTAAAAACATCAACAAATTCAAAAAATCATCTCAACACAGCTTTGAAAAAATTTAATTTTCAAAGACTACCCTCATGACTTTTATTGAATAGATGCCCCATCCCAGAAACCCTTTCCAGGTTATATATAAATCGATCTCCCAAGTAATTACGGAATTTGTTTCACTTACAAGATATCATTAAGTAGTCTTCAGAAGCACTCTTGACATCGTCATCATCATCATCATCATCATCATCATCATCTTCAGTTTTAATAGTAACTGTGGAACCAGGAACACCACCAGCTGCTTGAATCACAGTTTCTGTATCTGAATTAGTTACAAGAACCTCCTCTGATACCATTGTGGGAGAGTCAACTCCTGAAACACAATCTTGGACCACATGTTCTAAGTGTCCATCAGGACCAGTAACAAGGTCAGCCACGAAAACTTGCTCAGGTACTCTAACAGTTTCTGTAATTAGCTCAGAAGTCAAGATGTGATCACCATCATCTTCCTCTAAATCTTCTTCAATGGCAACATCAGCTTCAAGTACAGCTTCAGGAACAATAACACCTTCTGTTACTACATCAGTTTCGGTGATGATATCAGGCCCATGGACAACTTCAGCTGCAAGGCCATGATCAAGAGTTATCCCATCATCTGTGACAACATCAGAAACTAATACAGCCTCAGGAACTGAAACAACAATATGGTCTCCATCGATATGCGCAGTACCAGCCATTCCAGCCACTATAATACAAACAATTAACCAAAAAAAGTAAAGTTATTTTATTAATTAAAAGTACTGTAGATGGAGAAAGACAAACAGTATGATTTCACTCACATGTGGAAGATAAAAACAACAAATAAACACACAGACACAGAAATAGACTGGTGATTACCAGAGGGGAACGGGGAGGGAGAAGGGTGAAAGGGGTAAAAGCCCACATGTGTATGTTGATTGATGGTAATTAGACTCTGGGTGGTGAACATGATGTAGTCTACACAGAAATGGAAATATAATGATGTACACTTGCAATTTATATAACGTTATAAAGCAATGTTACCTCAATAAAAAATTTAAAATGTAAAAACATACTGTATTTAATATATTACATGCATAAAATATTTTTAAAATATGAAATAGTACTGGCCAAACTATTATTTTAAAAAATCACTGACAATTTAACTGCAATAAGAACCATCACCAACCAGCAACTGGGGTGGAGTTGGGTAAAAACAATGTTAGTAAAATCTAAATTAAGACCTTAAAAATAATGTACTTTACTTTCAAGTAAAACATAAAAGCTACAGTGAGATATCACTACACACCAGTTAGGATGGCTAAAATAAACAAACAGTGATAACACCACAGGGTGGTGAGGATGTGAAGAAACTGGTTCTTTCATACTTTACTGTTGGGAATGTAAAATGGGAGCAGGCACTCTAGAAAACAGTTTGGCAGTTTCTTTTTTTTGGCTGAGGAAGATTCACCCTGAGCTAACATGTGTTGCCAATCTTCCTCTTTTTTAATTGTTTTAATGAGAGCCACCACCACAGCATGGCCACTAAATGATGAGTGGCATGGTTCTGCGCAAGGGAACTGAACCCGGGTCTCCAAAGTTGGGTGTGCCAAACTTTAACCACTAGCCCATTGAGTTTGGTCCAGTTTGGCAGTTTCTTACAAAACTAAACATGCACTTACCACACAACCCAACAATTGCACTCTAGGGCATTTTTCCCAGAGATATTAAAATATGTTTACATGAAAAACTGCACATGAATATTCATAACAGCTCATAGTAGCAATGACTTGTAGTAGCAAAAATTGAAAACAACCCAAATGTCCTTCAGCAGGTGAATGGTTAATTAAACCAACTCTGGCACATTCTTACCATGAAATACTACTGAGCAATAAAAAAGGGACAAATTCAACAACCTGAATGAATCTCCAGAAAATTATGCTAAGTGAAAAAAGCTAATTACTAAAAGTTACAATACTGTATAAATGGAATCATTTATATAACATTCCCAAAATTATAAAACTATAGAGATGGAGAACAGATTAGCAGTTGCCAAGGGTGGGTGTGTATGTGTGAATATATTGGCACAGCATATACATGGTGATGTAACAGTTCTGTATCTTCTTTGTGGTGGTGTTTACACGAAGCTATATATGGGATAAAACTGCACAGAACTATATACACTCACACACATACAAATGTATATAAAAAAATGGTGAAAAGTGAATGAGGTCTGTAGTCTAGTTAACAGCATTGCGCTGATGCTAACTTCTTGGTTTTGATATTGTACTACACTTACATAAGATGTCACCACTGGAGGAAGATGAGTAAAGGTACGGTACATGGGATCTATGTACTATTTTTTCTACTTCCTGTGAGTCCAGTATTTCAAAAACTTAAAATTAAAATTAAAAGGATACACAAACATAAAAGGGTGCTAATATATTAAATTAAGTGAGTTAATAAAATAAGACCAGCTTAATACATTAGAAAATATGTATCATAAACACAAAAGTCCTTGAACTACTTTATCTTCTAAGAATTACTACATTTAAAAGTGGAAGGCATCTGTTAATACCTGATTTGGGGGGAAGAAAAGCACGACTCATTTTAGACAAAGATTTGGTTTGATTAAAAAATCCTACATATGGACTCTAAATTGCATTAAATTCTAAATTAGTAAAACTGCAGAAACAAAGCTTTAAATAACATTTTTCTTGAGCATCCTGGTAAACACCAACTCCTACCCCCATTGTAAATATTATAAGAGTGTAGAATCACTTCATGAGGAACTCTGTTAAATTCCGCCTCCCTGAGGAGGTAAACAAGTTAGTAAGAGTTTGTGGACCAGGTTATAACAGAATTACCCATATGAAATAAAATACAGTACAAAGCCTTTTCCACATAATGATCACTTTCTATAAAGTAATACCTGAAAGAGTGCCATTTGCTACACAGTGCTCACTATTACTAACCAATTCATTATGGAAGTTAGTTAATGAGTTAGAATGGAGACCAGTGGACACTATATTAATATCCTTACCCGTCAAAAAATAAGGTGAGAGGGGAAAGCTGCCTTTCAGGATTATCTTCCTTTTAACCCTTTCGTATCCTTCCCACCATTCTCCAACTCTCACTTAAACCACCAAATTACCCCAAAAGGCAAAGCCTCAATCTTGAAAATCTGGTAGACAAAGTAAGTATGTACAAAACAAGTACTTTCTATTCACTTGTTACTCCACTGACCATTTTAGAGACACCGAGAGGGTGGGAGTTCAAATTTAGCTTTCAACCAGACTGGAAATGTGGTTTTTACCTAGAAAAAATTTAATGTTAAGCCTATAAAATTCACAGTATTGGATTTCTATGCATATAAACAATAAAATTAATATTTTATAAAATCTTTTCACAAGTCAGACTTAAAACATGGGACATTCCATTTATTTTAGAGCATTGCTGGAGGTTACTATTTGGTTCTAGAGAGTAGACACTAGGGAAGGATAGAAAGATGGAATAATGCTAGTGCTGGCCTGGGTTCAGATTAACTTGGTTGGGAAAATTCTAAGATGAAAGAAGTGCTTTTCAGTTCACCTGGCCTCTACTCTAGTAGGAACTTATAGATCAAAATAAACCAGATATAAACCAAAACAAATCCAAATATGCTTGTTTACCCTGAACTAAATAATCACAAGGATCCTAGACCAAGAATTGACGAGTTCCCCCATAGGGTACTGGCAAATTACTCACACCTTGATTCAAAACGTCTCCTGTTAATTTTTGCTCTTTTCTCTTATCAGTTCAGCTCATGTGTTAGATTCCACTGAATTTCTAAACAAAGTCACTTATTTAGCTATACACCAGCTATAGTTATTTAGCACTGACTGTGCTCCAAGCAACCTGCTAATACTTTTACATATGATATCTCATTTAAGCCACAGAAAGACTGTACAATAAGATGAGTGTTATCATCTCCGTTTTAAATATGAAGGAACTATGGTTTAGAGAGGTTAAATAAGCTTGCCCAAGGATCAAGCTGGGGACTGAACTCATTGTTTGACTCCAGACTGGCTTTCTTCTATTTAATTTACTTACTCTAGACTGTTTTTAAAGAGATTGTTAGAATTAACCAAGTGAGCTGCTACTAAAGGAATAGTCTGAGAAAGAGTAAAAAGACCTATCATATAGTCACTCATTTAAATTTTAAAGCATTTAGTAAGCAGCATTAAGTGGCATTAAAAATTTCTCTCACTAGGTAGCAAATTATAAATCATAAGAAAAAATCATTTAAAAACTGTGAAATCAATTCAATAACCAGATAACAGTAAGAAACAAGTCATCATTCCAAGCATTTCCCATTTTACTAAAGTTATTTCATTTAAATGCAAATACCTAGAATTTCACCAGAGGCATAGCATAAAATTTGGTATTTGTTGGGTGTGTCTTGGTCCACTATTTAAGGCTGTTTTGCTATTTAAATTCCAAAGCAACACAGAATTTTTGCAGCAATAGAATCTTAAACGACTGTTAAATTCAACGGCAGAGAGATTCCACAGATTCCAAGGACAACCACCATACTGAGACATGAGCAAACTTATTACATAAAGCATAATGTTGTAAATCTAAAAATCTCAAATATCCTTCAAAAGAAACTGGTCTAATGAATTTCTGAATTAAATTAATGTTTCAGATTCTTAATATAGTAGCCATCCTGTTCCAACCAAGAACCTTATAGAATTTAGAGATTCTGTGCCACATTGTACTTGGCTAGTTCTACCTGTGTATGCTAAACTCGATGTTTCACAAATATCATCAATTTACGGGACTGCAAATACGTACATCTTGATGTTAGCTAAAAGTGAAGGAATGTATCTAATTTATAATGAAATTTTATAACTCAGAAAGTTTAATTGGTGGGGGGGACTAATCGTAGGGGGGCTGCTTTCAGAAGAAACCTAAATTACCAGGGCTAAAATTGTCACTGTCAAAAATCCTCCCAATAAAGGTCCCTTTAGGGTCAGGGTGTAGTGGTTAAGTTCGGGCGCTCTGCTTCAGTGGCCTGAGGTTTGCGGGTTCAGATCCCGGGCACGGACCTACACACTGCTCATCAAGTCATGCTGTGGTGGCACCCCACATACAAAAAAAAGCAGAGGAAGACTGACACAGATGTTAGCTCAGGGACAATCTTCCTCACCCCCCCCCCCAAAAAAAGTCCCTTTAGGTTTAGACCTATTTGACACTTTTGTATTTTTTAAAATAGCACACAAAGAATGAAAACATCTATGTACGAAATTGAGCTCAAAACTGCACATCAAAAAAATATAGAGTTCCTGCCTTCTAAGAGTTCAGAATTGATTTACCAAAAACAAATGCAAACCTAAATACTTTAGGTCAACATCATCCCTAAACACAAATGAGTGAACATTTCCCATATTAACTATTTCTGATCTAACTGGATATTCAGCAAAATAACCTTACCAAAAATGTAGAAACAATTTGGTTGCTATCTGTTTATTTGCCTAAATTTAAAAGAGCATAAAAATTAAATTAAAAAAGAAATTAAAAAGAATGCATCCTTTCAAAAACCAATAACCTCAAAATACTACTTGGCAGTTGAATCATGAACAGCTGTATAAGAAAAAACTGTGGCTTCAAACTCTTTGTGGTATAAATAAGTTGACTTACTCTATTAAATTCATTTTAGAAAGGCTTTAAATGATACTATGAAAACACCAATAAAAATCTGGAAGTAGTTCTCAAACTTTTCCATTTTATTATTCACAAAAAGACAGGGAATAGCAAATACAAATTTTGCTTTCTATCCAATAACATGTTTACATGAGTATAATAGTGTCTATATTTGTGTGTATGTGTTTTTCCCCCATTCAAATGAAAGGTACTCCAAGAAGATGTGCTGTTTATCCTGTGGTTTCAGGTACATCATCACATGCTTCCAAGGGTAATGATACTCCAGTCTAAGACACAGAGCTTTAGGTCAAACAAAAAAGTGTTATAGTGCATTAAAAATATTTCAACAACTCAAATGTCTGTCAACTGATGAAACATTATGCTAAGTGAAAGAAGTCAGACACAAAAGGCCACATATGGTATGATTCCACTTAAATGAAATGTCCAGAATAGATAAATCCATAGACAGAACAATTAGTGGTTGTCTAGGTCTTGGGGAGGGGGGTAGGGAGTGATTGCTAATGAGTGTGACGTTTTATTTTTATGATGACAGAATGTTCTAAAACTACATAGTGGTGAGTACAAGTCTGTGAGTGTACTAAAAACCATTGAATTGTATTCTTTAAAATGGGCAAATTGTATGGTATACGAATTATATCTCAATAAAAACTAAATAAGAATGTACATAAAAACACTTCAATATGCATGTCCTATTTCCCTAGCAACTAAAAGATAATAAAGTATTAGATGTAAGAAGGGATTAATTAAACCTCAAGACACTGAGGAGGAGGATGGAAAGGCAGGTAAGACGAACACCAAGTAAATGTTCACCAGCACCAATCAGACATTTTTTTCAATCTTTCAAAGGAATCATGCTTTACTTGTTAACAGGCAACTTCTTCAGGAGTGAAGGGGGTTCTGGAACTTTACCAAATGCTATGGGGTAGGTAACATTTTGTAGTAAACAGAGAAAACCTGTATTACTTCCATTTTTAAAATACCTTATTTTTAAAAGGTAAAAATTAAAGTTCACATTTCAAACAAAACTTATTTACCATACTGAAGTTCAAATGTCTCAGTATTTTAAAAACTAACTCTAGCAAGCATTCACAAAATTCTTTGTGAAATCTCTTATTCTTCAGCCCTTTGTGCTTCTTCTAGAATTTATTCCTGCACTGTTTTTCACCCCAAATCACTTCTAAGTTATCCATAATCAACACGACTCACTTCTGACTTGAGCAGAATAAATCCATGATTCCTTTCTATTTCATCAATTAACTACACAGTCATCTCGATCTCCACCACATTCAATCTTGACCTACACACCACACCTTCATTCATCAGACAGAAATGTCAAGGAATCACAGAACTGGAGAGGACCTTAAATGTTCTCCAGTCCAATCCCCTCATAAAAGTGAATCAAGTAACTTTCCTAAGTTTACACAGACAGTTAATAGGACTGTTAAGACTAGAATCCAGTTCTTCTGGCTCTCATTACTGTGGGCTTTACAATGGGGGTCAAAATAACATATTATCTGAAAATAGTAGTAGCATTTCCTTAATTGAGCAATGTATGTAGTTATAATTCCCCATCTCTAACTTAATCCTTGGCAATTCCATAATACCTCATGTTTTCTGTTTACTTTTTATCCCAATTTACCATTTGTCTTTTCTACTCTCACTCTGATCTTTTCTTCAATTCTTACCACCCCCAGCCTGCCTCTTACACTTCAGATACCTCTGCCTCTTCTATAACCCTCACTAACCTTGCTCAAATTCAGTTTCTTTGTTGACTGTCAATGGAGTCTCAGCATCTTCATCAAAATGACTACGAAAAACTTGGCCACAAAAGTAGGGAATTTTTTTTAAAAAAAAAGAAAAATGTAATGCTATTAGTAACAACTTTCTGAGGATATAGCATCAGAATATAATCACCCAGTGAATGATTTTCCCGTATCACTATATAAGCATCTAACTTCTTTGAAATGACTAAATATTTCCTTTTCGAGCTTTATTAAAAATGCAACTTAAAATGTATTTTAAAAAGCCAATTTACTATTCCTACATGCAAGAACTGAAGCAGTTATTTATGCAAATTGAGTTCAACATTTTCAGTGACATATCACCACTATATTCCAAGTTTCCTTATCTCAACCTTCCCACAAAATTTTAAGAATGATTTTAAGTAGACTGCTGACATATCACTTCACTTTAAGAAACTAAGCCCTACAAGTGTATTTTCTTAGCAAAAGAATTTTTCATTTTAATTCTACCCTTCTTCAATATAGTTTTGATATTTAGCATGTTCCGACTTTTAAAAAAGAAAGAAAAATACAACAAAGAAAATGCTTTACCAAAATCCTGCATAATCATGGTATGGGCCATTCTAGAGTCTGATGTGTGCAATCCAAGACTTCCACCACCTGAATCCATACTTAGCAAAGTTTATTCACAAATCTCTGTAAAAGAAATGGTTTTAAAAACAGTTTAAATACATTAGGCCAAAGTCAGTCGTTTTGAGAAAAAAATGCCATTGAAAATATGCCTCTCAACCAGGTGTGCAAATCTCAATACAAAGGAAAACAAAACAAACAAAAACCTTGATTAGATGTTTTATGTGGCAAACATAAATAAAAGAAGGGCCAAGTGGAGGTAAACCAAAGATAATGAAGAATAAGACACAGTAAGGGTGACGAGCCATAGGGAAGTGATAGAAGCAAGCAAAAGGACAAAACCATAGCACTGAGGTTCCAGTTAAAATATAGGTTATAAAATAAGAAGAAAAAGAGGAACAAGATGACAACAGACAATAGTTGGGATATTTATACGTTACTAGAGGACTCAGGTGTCTAGCATTAGTGAATTTCATCCAGTGGTTCTCATCCATTTCTTCCAGACCCAGATCAGCCCTGCAGCGGAGCTCTGCAGATAAACTTGTATTTCACCTCTGGCTCCCGGGGTTCTACTTATAATGTAAAATGTTCTATCCCAGTTTCCCTGGAGTTCTTTGAGCCAGTAAGGACTTCTGGCCTCACTCTACTACATTCTCTTGTCTCACAGTTTTGAGGACTCATGAAACATGACTGCTTCCTAAATATGGTAGAGATAAGATCAATCACATACAAACATTTAGCAAATTGTTTCTTTCAGAATATACCTTACTTGTAACTGTACAACTGATTTTTTCCATTAATGATTAATAAAGACATGTTAGCCTCATGCCAGTTTTGAAAACAAGAGCTCAATCTATTTCATTTCAAGTGACTTACCCTATATTTAAGATCACCAGATAGTACAGAACCTAAAGTCAGATGCTGTCACTCAACATATCTCTTACAATTAACATATGTGTATTTCCCCTTCAAACATTAGATTTCAAGTAAATCAACAAAAACATCTGTTAATTTTAGAAAATATTCAACTCATTTTTAGTTAGGGGTGTTTAATAAATTGAGCTATATTGCACAAAAGATGAGGTTACATCATTAATGAAAGTTTTAGAAAGCTGCTGTGTAAAACAGCTTAATTCATCCTTAAGTGCAAGAGATCACTAAGATTTTTTTTCCTTGCCTTAAAGTTCTTTAGGTGTACAGGAGGCAGGAGAGTTTCCCAGAGTAACCTCTATTAACATTTGAGTCATGTATATAAAAACCCTACAAAGTAGGTGACATTTCTGAGTACCAAATGATTCAGACGATATTACTTTATGTGTGAGCGAAATTACAAAATTTTAGAAATTCTTAGCTGTATTTTGTTATCTTTTTTCAAATACCGCATTGTTTTCTGCCTTCAAAATGAAGTCAGGAGAGGCCAAGAGAGTTCACAATAAACTACCTGTGTGTTCACAGAGATAAAGTAAAATGCCATAAGGACTTATTTTTAACATTAAAAACAGTGTACTATTTCAACTTTAATTAGAGTAATTGCTTGCTTTATCACATAACTCAGAACAATTAGAAATGTATTAAAATGTTTTAAACACTTAATTTTGTTTAATTATTAAATAAGGTAAAACATTAAGTAATATGTTATTCACCTTAATATGAGAGTCTTGAAGAAACTGTAGATTTTCTTACATATTGTAAAACAAAATCTGCAGCAAATTCTTTTTGTTATTTTTCTTTCTGAACTATGTTATTTTCTTTGGAAAACGTTCTCTTTACCTAGTGTAAAAATACATTCAAAATTAGATATTTCAAAACATTTTAAACCAAATCTCTTACACAACCTGAGAATTTTTCTTTACACTTTACCGTGCAGGGTGAGGTCGGGAAGGGCTCATATGCTCAAATCTGTTCATCTAAAAAGCACCCGAAGGGAACCCAACAGAAACAACTACCTACTGCGATATTAGCAACATTATTGAACTGAGAGAGAATTCGACCACGTAATTAAAGCATAATCTTCCCTAAAGCACGTTTTAAAAATCACTAGCAACATCTTATTTTGGAAAGTGAAAGAGACCCAACCAAGGGCAAGCTTTATCCTTGCCAAACCCATAGAGAAAAATCTGCACGGGCACTTAATGAAGTGTAAAAATTTTAACACACAGTGCAACTATTATGGAAAGTATCACCCTGTAGGAATACCAAAGAAATCAAATGGAACGCCTTTTCCCCATACAGGAAGTTTCAATAAGATCAATAATAAATGAGGTAAGAGAACAGCAGTGTGTTAAGTATTCAATAGCCAAAAGACAGCGAGGCTTCTCAGTCTCCTCAAAAGTAAATCTCACATCGCTATCGAATGGAGGTGATCACCAAGTAGGCTTCCAGTAAACACCTTTCCTGAAACGTACGGGGGCAGCAAGCAGAAAAAGAAAAGCGAAAACATTTTACTCTTATCCGTCTCCTCGAAACCCAGCTCCTTCAGGATCAAGCTTTTGGTGAGGTAAATAGGGTGAGGGACAGAAGAGAAATCCTGAGGCGGCCGAGCAAGAGAATGCGAAAGTAGTATTTGCGGAGACAGGAGACAAAGGAGCCCTGGCAAGTAGCACTATTGCAGCTTTGGACGCAACCCTCTTCCCGCAGAAGTCGCCCTCTCCCACGACCACGCCAAGTTGCAATCGTTTCGAGCAGAACGCACACACGTGCCCTCTCATCCAGCAGCCTCCCGGCTGGATCTTCAAGCGAACAAGAGCAGCTCGGCCGCGGAGAGGCCGAGCGGAGCCACAGAACACCCTCTCCCCTCCTCCCTCCTCTCACTTGGTGCAGCGGTCGCCACCGCTGCTGCCCATGGCGGGCTGCCCAGCCCCTCAACCTCCTCCCGCGCCCGCTGCCCCGCTCCCTGGGAGACGGCTGCGAACCAAAATGGTGGTGTTTTCGCGGAGGCGACAGTTGCCGCACACGCCCCCCCACCCCCCAGGCTCTGACGGCTCGCGATCCCCTAAAATGCCCGCTCCGGTACCACCTTGTCGCCAACGCCGCCATCCCTCGCGCATTCCAAGGTTACCCTCCGCGGCGGGCGGGGGCGCGGCGGGCGGGAGCGAGGGAAAGGCATATGGGGGGGTCGCCGAGAGAAAATGCCAGGGGGCCGCCGCATTCTTCACTTCACCGTTTTGTTTTCCGCCATTTTCCCGTCACCCTAAACCACCGACGGCCTCAACGACGGCTCTCGCCCCCAGAGGCTCCGGCCTAGGGGAAGGCGACGCGGCTGAGGGAGAAACACTCCCTCCCCTCAAGCCCTCCGGCACCCCGCCGCGGCTGAGGAGAAAAATCGTGCGCCCGAGGGGGAGGGAAAGCTTAGGGACTAGACGCCACTTCCATTGTTCCCTTCGCCCTACACTCCACGCTGGGTGTGAGCCTCTCCTCCCCTCCCACAGCGACACTGAGAGCGGCGGCCCCGAGCGCCTCCACTTTCTGCTCCGGAGTCGCCTTACCTGCCGCCGCCGCCGCTGCCGCCGCTGCCAGGGGGCCGCGCTCCGGATTTCTGCGGGGGGCGGCAGCTGTGGGTCCGTAAGGTCCTCCTCGCATTCGGGTTTCCGAGGTTCCGCAGCCCGAGCCAATCACAAGCTACTCTGCGTCTGGGAGGCGCGCCGCCTCGTCCTCCTTTATAGCGCTGCTGACATGCTGAGGTTGCATTACGTCACGCTACCCTTGCTGCAGGGTAGGGGGCCGCGGGGGGCCGCGCGCACGCGCGTGCCGGGCCGAGCAGCCCGCGCTGGGCTGGTGCTCCCAGACCCCGCGGACTCGCAGTGGGGGCTGCAGCGCCGGGCGAGTCCAAGTGCGCCAGCCTCCATCTCCGAGTGCCCCTGAGGAGTTTCCGTGGGAAGATTGTCTGTTTTCCAGGTTTCCCAAGGGAGACGAAGAGGGGGAGGGGGGAAATCAATGACTGAATAGCCGCTCACTGAACCCGTAATCGATGTTGGACGACGTTAAAAAAAATCGACCCTACCCTCGAGGATTTGACCAATTAGGCTGGCCAGAGTGGTAAGAGGTATGCCTCTCCCCAATAAAACCTGTGTGTGTTTTGCAGTTTCCTTCCCTCCCTCCCTCCCTCCCTCCCTCCCTTCATTCCTTTTATATTTCGTAATAGTAGACAATTCGATGAAGAAAGTAAAGAAGAGTGAAGAAAGGCACAGAAGGGAAAGGTGGAGAAGGGACCTAAATGAAGTGAACGCTAAATATCTTTTGAATGTGTCATTTTTAGCTTGTGTCTGTACAAAATTGGAGAACAGTGAGAAATTCGGTGGTGACTGGTGGGAAAAAGTGATGAGATGTATCCAGAAGGTTGCATTTGCAAAGGGCCTTAGATTCCGAAAATTTAGCTTTAGTACTATAAGCATTTGGAATGAATAGCAGTGTTTAAGCAGGGAAAGAATACGGTCCTTTGTTTTTTAAAAAAGAAGGTAACTCATTACCTTTGCCTAAATAATTTGAATATTTTACAAATAAGACATGTGACTGTTCTCGATTAGCTAGATAATTTCTCCAGGTCTCTATAACTTAATATACTATAACTTGATATACTAAAGGTTTTGAGAAAATTAGAGGACACATGACGTGGAAGCCCAGCACAGTCCCTGGCTCATAGTAGACAAGGAGTTGGCGAACTTTCTCTGTACCGGGCTGGGTAGTAAATATTTTAGGCTTCGAGGGCTGTAAGGTCTCTGTCACAACTATTCACAACTGCTTGCAGTTGTAGCCCCAAAGTAGCCATAGACAGTATGTACACAAATGGACGTGGCTGTGTTCCAGTAGAACTTTATTTATGGACACTCACATTTGAATTTTATATCCTCTTAACATAATAACAAAAATTATTCTTCTTTGAATTATTTTCAACTATTTAAAAGTGTAAGAACCATTCTTAGTCGCAGGCCATTAAAAAAACAGGCAGCCGTCCAGATTTGGCCTGTGGGCCGTACTTTGCTGACCCCTGTAGGTGTTATTTATTTCACTATTTTCCCTCCTAGATGAAAAAAGAGTATTTTTATGAGCGTATTCCCATAGATGACACATCTCTATATTGGAAACCCTGGAAAATACTGCTTGAAAAGTCTTCTCCCAGCGACAATTTCAGTAGGACACTGATGGAAGAAAGCTGAGAAAGGTGTGGGGTTTTTACATCAGTCACCTTTGTGAATGGTACATTGTGGTAGATAATTTTTAAAACCTGAAGTTGATCCTTGCTCTTCCCTCTTTCTGCAAATATCTTGTCCATCAAAATGTCCTGAGAGGGGCTGGCCTGGTGGCGCAGCGGTTAGGTTCACACGTTCCGCTTTGGCGGCCTGGGGTTGGCCGGTTTGGATACTGGATGCGGACATGGCACCACTTGGCAAAAGCCATGCTGTGGTAGGCGTCCCACATATAAAGTAGAGGAAAATGGGCATGGATGTTAGCTCAAGGCCAGTCTTCCTCAGCAAAAAGAGGAGGATTGGCAGTAGTTATCTCAGGGCTAATATCATCCAAAAAAGAAAAATGTTCTGAGAATTCCACTTCTTTAATATCTGTGGAATTCATCCCTCTTTTTCCATTCCTAATATCATTATCTCATTCAGGTTCACGTCCCTTCTTACCTGGATTACTGCAACACCTTCCTAACTAGTTCCTCTGTGTCCGTTTGCCCATCAAATCCTGAAATCAGAGGTCACCAAATCAGAAAAATATCTCAAATCAAGCCTCCCCACTCCATTTTCACTTCAGTTGAAGCCCCCAACAGGTGGGACTGTGCAATAGCCTCCTGACCCATTTCTCTGCTACAAGTGTTTCTTTACCCCACTCCATATCTTCTACAGTGTAGAGTCTACACGACCACAGAGATCACTTGCATAACAAAACAAACAAACCTGGTTATCTCACGCCCCTGCTTAAACATTGCTGTCAATTCCCAGTAGAAGTCAAGGATGACTTGTCCCAGGCAAGGACAGGAGGACACTTGTGGACATCCCAGCAGGACAACAATGTGGAAGACCATCCCCCATATGTCTTTTAGATATTTGGTCCATGTTTATTTAAAGGAGTAAATTGAATACCATGTTAAAGATGGCTGGCTGTGTTATTATTTTAAGTAGTGTTATTTTTGTATTCATGCTTCAGTGTTTTTACCGTTTCATATTAGCCCCTAGACCAATAATATTAATTAGGTGCTTTAAATTCTTTGCAATTTGTAGCTTGCTTTGTTTTATAGCTTGCTCATTTCACTCCCTCTGCTTCCTCTGGTAATCTTGGCCAACTAATAGTGTTTTGCTGTGGTACATTTAGAAACCGTATATTGCCGTCTCTTCTTCCTCATATGCCTTTGAAGTTACAGTTTGTCGTCAGCTATAGTCCCTTTAACCTCAGCCTCTTCTATGAAACCTCGTAGCCTTCTTGCTTTACCTGTAACCTGACCATCTCCCAAGGAAATAATCTAAAATAAATTAACATAAGCATATTCTGGGTCATCTAGAAGACTACCTTCTAACTGAACATTGTCATACGTTATAACACTTACATGTGTATTTGTATTTACAAGCATATTGACACCAGATAGTAAAACTTTAATTGTTTTGGGTTGATTTGAAATGAAGCAGTTAGACTTTGTTTGTAAATTATATAGTCCTCATACCAGGTGTGCTGTACATAATACAATTTCTTGGTAGTTAGAATGAAGTGGTGGGAGAAGTGAGTCAGCCCATGGCATATAGTAAGACAAGCTGCACTCAATATGCTATTGCAGAATCATATTTATGTTGTGAACTGTAATTTAGTTTCAGCAAAACAATATAATGCATAACATTAAATTAGTGCTGTTAATTTATTAGTTTGGTTGTTTGTTGTTGTGTTTTATAAGTGTATAAGCATCGTAAGCCTAAGGCATTTATTTATACATGGCTCTACTGTCGCTTATGTTTAAGTAATATTATAATAAAACTAATTTAAATCAATATTGAGAGTACAAATTTTTTTTCCTTTAAATTAGTGTACAGTAAAAAAATACAAAATGATGCACAAAAGGTCTCAAAATACTATTCTACATAAAAAGTATCAGGACTTCTTGGGGGAATAGCTAATTCCAGGTTTGAGATAAGAAATAAATAAGATGAGATTATCTTATATTGTTTTGTCAGTGAGCAAGAAAACCATCAAAGAATAATTGGATCATGTCAAAACTACACAAGAGCATCAAAAAATGTTAACTGCAAGTGATGAAACGCATTGAATATATAAAAAATCGTGAGTTGATTAAGCATATTGAGAAAGAAATAAAGGTTTCCTCCCGCACTCCCCCCAAAAACCTCATTGGATACCATTTGAGGTAAATAAGCCATCAACTTCTTACTCTGAGAGTTAGCAATTAGAAGAAAATAACTCAGTATTTTATTGTACTTTTCCTGTACAAACTATTTCAGGACAACCAAATAGCCATAGTTTTGGTAAGGGAAAGTTCTTCTTTTCACAAGAAGTACAATTAATAACTATAGAAGAAATATAGAAATAAATGTAGAACATCACCATTTTACAGCCTCTAATGAGGTAACAGATCAGGCAACGATCATTGGTGGGTGAAACATTAGAGGAAGGACTGACGGAAAACTTTATAACGGAGTTCAGGCTGTCATCACCTGAACCCTCTAATCAATTTCTCCAAATCCTCACCGGCATTTGGTATTATCACTACTTTTTATTTCTAATAGATGTGTAGTGCTATCTCATTGTAGTGTTAGTTTACGTTCGTCTGATAGTTAATGATGTTATACGTCTTTTCATGTGCTTATTTTCCATAACTTCTTTGGTGAAGTGTCTGTTCAAGTTCTTTGCCCATCTTTTAATGTGGTTGTTTCCTTATTGTTGACTTTCAGAGTTTTAAAAATATGCATTGTGGGTACAAGTCCTTTATCAGATGTGTGATTTGCAGATATTTTCTACCCATTGTCACCTGGTCTTTTTTTTTTTTTTCTTTAAAGTGTCTTTGACAGAGCGAAAGTTTTTAATTTTGATAAAATCCAATTTATCAATTTTTTTCTTGTATAGATTGTGCTTTGGTATGGATTCTGAGAAGTCTTTGCCTAGTTTCACCTCACAAACATTTTCTCCTATTTTTTTTTCCTAAAAGTTTTCTTGTTTTAGGCTTTACTTTTACATCTGTGATCTATTTCGTGTTAGTCTTTGTATAAAATGTGAGATTTAGGTTGTGGTTCATTTTTATGCATATGGATGACCAGAAGTTCCAACAACATTTGTTAAAAAGACTATCCTTTCTCCAGTGAGATTTTGCACCTTTGTGAAAAATCAAGTGGCCATGTTTATGTAGGTTTATATCCATCCTATTTATTAGGTTCCATGGATCTGTGTGTGTTTATCCCTTCACCAATACCACACTGACTTGATTACTTTGGCGTTTTAGTATTCCTAAAATTGGATTCTTCTAACTTTGATTTTTTTTTCAAAATAGTATTAGCTATTCTTGTTCTACTTAGTATCACCTTATCTATCTATAAAAAATTCTGCTGAGATTTTGATTAATATGGTGTGAGTCTATAGATCTCTGAGGAAAATTGACATCTTTAGTATGTCGATTCTTCTAAT